GGCCGGTTGTCATCAAGTGCGGTAATGACACGACGTCTGCCGCCACCATCAGCAAGTTCCGCCACTACTTCCGTGACGTGGGCGTTCCTGTACGCCTGCGAACCGACGGAGGGCCTCAGTTCACAAGCCGGGACTTTGCTGTGTTCCTTGACCGATGGGGAGTCCGGCATGTGTTGTCATCGCCCCATTACCCGCAGTCCAACGGCCACGCTGAGGCTGCTGTCAAATCCCTGAAGCACCTCATCCTTAAGGTGGCCCCTTCTGGGAATATTGACTGCGAGGCCTTCGACCGGGGTCTTCTTGAACTCCGCAACACACCTAACTACACCGGACGCTCCCCTGCCCAGGTCTTGTATGGACGCCCCCTTCGTTCTTGTGTCCCTGCTCACCCTCAATCCTTCTCTAAGGAGTGGCAGGCCAAGACAGAGGATTGTGATCGCCGAGCCGCCGAACGTGTTCAAGACGTCGTCGCCCGCTACAACGACCACGCCTGTTCTCTCCCCAGGTTGAGTGTCGGCACCCAAGTCCGTGTTCAGGACCCGACCTCCCTACGTTGGGACAAAGTGGGCATAGTCATGGGTCTCGGTAGGTCACGGGACTACCAGATGCGGTTACCCAGTAGTCGTGTGTGGTGGAGGAATCGCCGTTTTCTCCGCCCCGTAACAATGCCTTCTGGTGACCCCGCCACCAGTGTTGAGTCCCATACCCTTCCCAGTGTTCAAGTCCCTAGACGCTCAGAACAGATCCAAAAGAAAAGGTCCGCTCAAGACTTTGCTATTAGCGTATAGGGGGGAGGGAGGTGTATGTATATTATGTATGCTGTATGTATATTATGTATGTATATTATGTATGTGCTCCATTTATATACACTATTTATTCAGCCTAGCTAGCAGCATGTGGCAATGTATTTACCATGTCCCACATGCTAAATTAATGTGCCTGGCGACATATGGAAGCTGCTAATGTATCACTCACCACATGTCGCCTAGAGACTAGTTGACCCCCAGACAGAGTGAGGAGCGCTACCTCCCTTGTGTACATATCTGTTTATCCAGTAAATAGAACCTACGAAACTCTACAGGTGTTTGTGTTCGCTCCTGTAGATAGAACTTGATACCCAGAACACGTACAGTGGCAGTCTTCATTTACGGGCGAGATGTCCAGCAAAAGATAGTGATTGCTCTTCATGTGGGAAAAGAGGGCACTGGGCAAAAGTCTGTCAGACTAAGGGCAAGAAACAGGCCACGGCATCAATTTCATCTCCTACTCTTTGTGCCATCTCAGCTGCTGTTCCTCATTGCCTGAATTGCTCTGCTACAAACGTAAAGGCAAATGGAAGATGAATCTCCAGCCTTATTGATTCGGCAAGTTCTGAGAGTTTCATTGACAAGAGAGTGGCCCATCTGCTTTAGATTCACATCAAACCCGTTTCCCAAAGTGTAACCCTGGCAATGTCTTCTTCAACGGTGGATCTCTATGTGAATGACAGTCATTATCCAAACACACGTCTGGGCGTCATTGAGAATCTTTGTAGTGATGTTATTCTCGGCATAGATTTGCAAAAACAACACTCCTCAGTTACAATAGAGTATGGAGGACCCAGACTTGAGCTCAAGATTTCCAACATTGGTAACAAGCCTGTATGTAGCCTGTGCATCAGCAGGTATGTCAGAACCACGGTTATTTGCAAACATGCAAGGCAATGCAAAGCTCATAGCCACCGAAGGCATCATAGAACCAAGTACATCACCTTGGCGTGCACAGGTGGTGATTGCAAGAGGTGATTCAGGCTGTCACAGAAAACGAATGTGCATCGACTACTCTTCTACGCTGAACATTTACACCAATCTCGACACATATCCATTGCCAAACATTGAAACCATGGTCAACACTCTTGCTAAGTACCATGTGTTCTCAACATTTGATCTAAAGAGCGCATACCATCAAATACGCATAAACGAGTCTGATAAACCCTTTACAGCATTTGAAGCAAATGGCAAACTGTATCAATTCACACGTGTACCATTTGGTGTCACTAATGGTGTTGCCGTTTTTCAAAGAGCCTTAGACAAGTTCGTGGAGGAGGAGAATCTATGTGACACATTTCCCTACCTTGACAATATTACCATAGGTGGTCGGGATCAGAAAGAACATGACGCAAATCTTGAGAAATTTCTTGCTGCTGCTGAGAAAAGGAAGCTGACATTCAATACATCCAAATCTACAATATCAGCAACATCGATCAATCTTCTGGGTTATCAACTTGGAAATGGTCAAATCAAACCAGATCCTGAAAGGCTAAAACCACTGCAAGAACTCTTCACTGCTGTGGATGAATATTCCAGATTTCCCTTTGCTATTCCACGTGCTGACATGACATCCTCAACTGTCATCAAATGTCTGGACACCATCTTCTCGCTTTGTGGTATGGCGAGTTTTGTCCACTCTGATCGATGAAGTGAATTTATGTCTCGTGAAGTGAAAACTCATCTCGCTTGTCGTGGAGTGGCGTCCAGCAAAACTACACCTTACCACCCAACAGGAAACAGTCAAATAGAACGGTACAATGGCATAATCTGGAAGTCCATATGTTTAGCTGCCAAATCTCGAAATGTTCCAGATACTGAATGGGAGGCTCTCCTACCTAAAGCACTTCACTCTATTAGATCATTGCTCTCAACAGCCATCAACGTGAGTCCACATGAGAGGTTTTTCAACTTTCCGAGACGATCTTGTCAGGGTACATCCCTGCCAACATGGATAACGACTCCAGGTCCTGTCTTCTTACGCCGATTCATCTGCTCATGCAAAGGTGACCCTCTCGTTGATGAGGTGGAGCTCCTCGAGGCTAACACAACGTATGCACACATCAAGTGAATCTTCAGTTTCCCTCCGTGATCTTGCTCCACGCCCTAGTGGAACCTCATCCTCAGACATCTCTGCCGGATCAACCTCACCTTCAGTGGAGCCAGAAATGTTGGATAATGGTGAGGGAGTTGTTGCAGAGGGAGATACAGGGACGACATTGCTGAGTCCTAGTATCATGCAGGAGTTACTTCTTCGTCGTTCTACTCGGCAGGGAAGAGAACCCCATTGATACGCCAATGATGTTTGATTGATTATGTTGGCAGGGGTGAATGTCATATTATGGAATAAATTATGTTTGTGTATACCTTTACTATAAATGTACTCAGGTTCTAATTGGGTTTTGTTTTGTTCTGTTGCAGATGTATATGGATTTATGAGTTGAATAAAGCCTTGATTACTGAAGGTGTTTGATATCATACGACAAAGTGTGTTCAAACAACTTTCCACCGGCCCGGGAATCGAACCCGTGACATCTCGCTTGCGAGGCAAGAGCGGTAACGTTCTACCACTGGCGCCCCTCATCCTCGGTGTGGTGGGTGACAGCAGTACTGTACATGGGATGTAAGGTGATAAGACTCATAAACTCAAGGTCGAATCTTGAGATTGCACAATACTTTTAATGTACTGATTGTTTTAGTTTAGACAGATCTATTGAGTTAAATTATCATAGATCTTTAAAATTGGTTCAAATTGTTTTGCTTTATACTAAATATACTAGAGGGAATATTATCAAAGAACATGACAGAGATTTATTGAATCAAATCATGCAATATGCAGTAATCTTACGTAATTCATAACCTATAAAATCATCATACAATATGCAATAGTAATGTACAAGATGAAAGCGAGTAGCCTATTATGTATACAGCAATGGACAGTGAGACACTGAGTGCAGTCGCTACCGACAGTCACTTCCACCACTCGCCAACCAATTCCTTCCCGCATGGTGGCCGAAAATTTTAAAATTAATCATCTCCCAAACATGATTAAGGCATGTTATTAGCTGCAGTTAAATAGTATCGGTAGTATACTGTACTGTATTTACATGCCCAACATATGTTTTCCCCTAAAAAATACTTTAAAATGTATGATTTCAATAAATGTATGACTGTAAGGGCTGTAACGAGCGGGTGGGTTGTCCGCCGCTCGTTTGCTTGTTCGAGGCCCCACTAGTTGGGAGACGGAGGTGAAAAGGCAGCAGCTGCCTCGTCGCCAGAGAGACACGATCCAGCCTTCACCACAGCTGTTACTCCACCCAGCTGTTCTATTCCAACTCTGGTTGTGTACTCATCTGAGGTTCCTGGGGCTCATGGGCTGATTCCCCAGTCCTTCACTATTCGGCTGTCAACTCCGGTCACTTACTCCAGCCACTTACTCCAGCTACTGAGACAGCTGCCACGTGATCACCACCTCCTCCACGCTCTATCCACCGTCCGTGCCTTGGCGTCTCTCTTGTGTGGCAAGACATAGCCCACCAACGCCGGCTCCTAGTGAGGAAGCTGCCCTGGACCTTCCCCCTGAGAGCGGATCACAGCGTTACCAGAACATTCTACAATGTTGGTTAGAAGGGAGATTCATCTTCATCCGGAGGAAATATCTGTACTTTATTTTATTGTTTTGTTTTAGTAATTGTTTGACTCTAGTGCTGTTTATTTAATATTTGTGTGAGTGGTGTCAGAGTTAAATTTGTGTTTATTTTCTTGGTAAAGAGATGTCAATCTCTAAATGTTGTTTATTACCCCTTGAAAACTCATGGTTCTTGACTTTTCTTTGATACGATCCTGATTGGGCTGGCAAGGAATTTATATCCCACAGGCCAGGCCTCTACAATTACGTATACTGAAGTTCATTTTTTCCCCCCAAAATCCTTGTAAAATAGGGATGCGTCTCTTGTGGCAGTGAGTCTATTATGCTGGCAAATACAGTATTTACTTCGGTTATTAATTTTTTTCCCTAGTGAATTTCTTACCTTCAGCACTCTAAAATTTCAGCTTGTACCACAATATTCTTAACCACTTGTGTACAGAGTCCCCTCTCTGCTGAATAAATCGCTTGACATTAGCCAAATAAAATATTAAGTGACATCCCCTTTGTCAAGGGGTTAACATATACATCAGCTTTATAAATCTTACCTGGACACACTCTCCACAGCACTTCTTGGCTTCGAGGAGTGGTGGCTCATACTTCCAGCCAGAGGAGCAGGATTTAACACAAGTTTGTATTTCTTCTCTTTTCTCAACTTTATCATCTGGGGTTTTGACACATCTTACACTTCGACATTCATTCAAGGGGTCATCAAGTGTCTCTCCAATCTGTAAATTATGTTTATTGTTATCTAAATGATAATATTGTAATATACAAATATTCTGTAATATTTAGCCCTGTGTAACAAAAGTATGGCACGTACAGTATTGTACTGTACAGTCCCAGAAAAAAGTGATGGCACAATGTGTGATGTCTCTGATTCACAGGTTATTGGATCTCAGGGTTCATGGATGGGATGGCGAACTCACAAGACATTTACCGTGACAGTACATGTGGTGAGCAATTTCATTTTTTGAGGGGTTGGCAGGAATGTTAACTACGCGGACATTAAGCCAAAATGCTGGTCCGCCCTCAGTGAGCAAGGATTAGTAAAATTATCGTTTCGGTCATCCAGCGATTTTTAGGATTTTAAGTTTTGGATTTTGTGGTTTAGACAATTCTAAGAAACTTTTATTCTACGAAACTTTTCCCGCTCATGATTCCTTTCAGAGAAAATTGCAAACAAAAACAAAAACAGGGTTTTGGGTGGGGAAAAATCACAAAAAGTAATAATTTGCGATAGAAATGAAGGTCAGAATAATCCAAAACCTAACCTAACCCTAAACCTTACCTTATTAGACCCAGAAGAATCCGAGTTGAGGTCACGAGATCCTCCTCGTCATCCACAGGTTGCACTGCCTGGCAGGGGGGCCTATACCGAGCTGTGATTTGGTTGATCCAAAATCATACCCACCAATCAACGTCCAAAGAACAGCTGTGCACGTGTCAGACTCTAGCGTATGCGCAATGGGCATTGTAAACAATAAACGAACACACAGGAGCTCTCTGACACGGTGGTAACAATAACAAGAACTTAAAAAAATACGATGATTTTTCAATAATTTATTGCGATTTTCTCTGAAAGTATTAATGAGCGGGAAAAATGCCAAAGAAGAAAGTGTCTGAAAATTGTCTAAACTACTGATTCCAAAACTTAAAATCTTCAAAATCGCTGAATGACCTATAAACGATAATAATACCCAAGGATTAAGGTTGCAGAACAAAGTGTACTGTATGCAAAAACACAGGAAACTCATTCATATCTAGATCCTAAAGAAACTAACTGTGAATGGAAAAAAAAAGTGTAATTAGAACTTTTGAAATTAAGAATAAAAAAAATCAAATCTTTTATATATCCTGGAGTGAATTATGAAACCTAACAGGGTTCTCACATTTTGGTGCCATAAACTACATTTCTTAGCTAGGGTTCTATATCCAGTATTGTCAATTCAATAAATGGTAGGTGACTGTTATTTGAAGATGTTGTGGTGCCACTTTGAGGATTAAATTGCAAAAAATTGCTTGCAGAAAGTCTGGAAGAAATAATGTGTTACTTGTGGAATGAAAGACTCCCTCTGGGTGATAATCTAGGGTGGTCTCCTTTATATACTCATATATATATCTAAGGTAGTGTTGTTGAGGAGGGAGTGAGGCGACAAATTATTTTGTAACAATTTAAATATACAGACAAGATATAACAAAGTAAAGGACTGGGTGAATACAACACCACTGCATAAAGTTGTAAATATTATGACTACTGTACATTGTAAGAGGGAAGGCATACATACCAAAAGGATATTAATAAAGCCAATGTGTTTAAATAGTTTTAAAGCTGGAAATGCACTTTTTACTACATTAATATTATCAAATTCACTGTAACTGGTAACTAGCACAGAAACAAGGGAGCAACAGATTACTTACCTGAATGGCCTCATAGCCATCTATACAAGCAGTTCTAATTATCTGTGGGCAGCATTGACCTGGTGTCTCCACACTCTCCAGCTCATACTCTCCACGGTCTGGATGACTGTCAAGAGTTGGGCAGGTCTGCTTAGTACACTGGTAGTGTGGCAGCCCATCAATGTCTACTGAACACTTACAAGTTAGGCACAACCCATCTTCCCACTGTTCACCAATCTGTGAAAGTAACAAGTGCACGAAATCTTATATTAAAAAGAATGAAATAAAATTTAATTGATAATGAACTGTCTATATTAAGTACAACATCATTAAAACTGGCTCCTTTTATCTTGCTATATGATGTACAGTAGCTAAAACAATTATCTGTGCAGGTGGGGGTCGATATGCTCCAAAATTTTATGTGTGACTGGTGACAGCCCTCATATACCAAAATTTATAGTCCATGGTCTCATAATATCTAACAAACAAATGCATAAGCATGGTTGTTTAATCAAGTGACATTAACCTAAACTACTTGACCCCATAAATCAGGGCCGGATCCAGATCTCAAATTATACTGATGCAATCTTTCAGTTTTTGTAGTTGCAGCTAGCCCAGATTTTAAGAAATTTTATGAAATTTGTACAGTCAGCCAAAGATGCACCGACCCCACCTTGGGTCTTGTGCTCGCAATTTTACCTGGTAATATGTGGTAAAGTAAGACTGTATGTACAGGTGATTGTGATTGGTGGATCTGTTTTTGGCTGTATCATTGTCAGGATAAACATTAAACAAACCAAAGGTAACATATTTATAATAAACTATTCATCATTATTTCAGATCATGAGTAGTTTCCAAATATTCGTATATTTGTTTAAATAATGAAGAAAATTTGATGTGAGGATCTTATGGTATCTGTGGTTGTAGTTGAGTTGCCAATTCATAAATATGATTTCCTTCATTATTTAAGCAAATATATTAATTTGGAAACTTCTCATGACCTTAAATAACAATGAATAGTTTATTATTATAAAAATTCTACCTTCAGTTTCTTTAAAAATTATCCTGACAGTGATACAGCCGAAAATAGATCCACCAATCACAATGACCTTTACGTACAGCCTTCCTTTACCAAGTAGTGCCAGGTAAAATTACTAGCACGACACTAGGGTGGGGTCGGTGCATCTTTAGCTGACTGTACATTTCATTTACTCAACAATTTATTTTTAATAAATAATTAACTAATATTTACTTGGATAAATGTATGTTTAGTCAGATATTTTAGCATATACAGCATACCCTTCAAATTTGCAGTGGTTAGGTTCTCAAAATGGCATGTAAGTCATACAGTTCTAGATGCAACTGTAAAATGGAAGTCAAGGATCAATTTTTCATTTGTGACATCTTTTGCAAAGTAACTTATGATATACAATGGTAACGAGAAAGGGGAAGTGTTTGTTAAGAATCACCTAGAAACTATTCAGACTCTATAAGGCAGTCTGGCACCCTAACTGGAACACCCCTTAGCCCCAGTTGGCTCCAGCCATCCTATGACATTGTCCTTCAGATTTAAATATTATTTGACAGAAGAAGAGCACGCTAAGGTTAAAATATTACAAGAATAATGAAAATACAAGGAGGAAGGAACAAGGAGAATTAACTGACCTAAGTTAATGAACAATAAGAATACAGATAAATCTTCTAAAGAGAGAGAGAGAGAGAGAGAGAGATTACCTTATACAACTTTTTCTGGGAGACTAAAGAGGTTTCTGCAGGTTGTTGATAACCTTTGTCATCAACAAGATACTGGTGATCATATATACAGGCATCACTTGGAGGAACTGAAATAGGGAATACTGTAATAATAATAATAATAATAATAATAATAATAATAATAATAATAATAATAATGATAATAATAATAATGATAATAATAATAATAATAATAAAAATGATAATAATAATAAAAAGAATAACAAAAATAATAATAGTAACATTATTAATAATACAATACACAGGGGGTCCCCGACTTACGAACGTCCTACTTACAAGTGCCTGCCGCTACGAACGAGGTCCCATAAGGTCAATCATTAAAAAAAAAATCGAGGTAAGTTCAATGGTTCGTAGCAGTTACGTACGAGAACTAGTTTGTGCAGCGTAGAGGGGAGGTGAAGCGGCACATGGGGAGTGATGCATTGCACCCAGGCAGTCACTCGCCTTGAGGGAGCAGGGGCATCAGTATGCTTTACCCCAAACGTGTGTGATCAAGTGCAAACTTTTTTTATTTTTATTAATAACTCTTTTTTGGCCCTCATCATGGCTCCCAAATGCAAACCTGATGCAACTGACAGTAGTGCATCCAGGAAAAGGAAAACAATTACAATGGAAGTGAAAGTTTATGTAATTAAACATTCTGAACAAGGCAAAACATCCTCAGTGATCGGTAAGGTTTTGGGTTTAAGTCGTTCAATGGTTGGAACAATTTTGAAAGACAAAGAGAAAATTCTTGAATATGTAAAAGGATCTACATCAATGCAGTCAACTGTGATAACAAAACAAAAAAAGTGGATTGTTAATTGAAATGAAAATATTGTTAGTGATATGGGTGGAAGATCAAAATCAATGGGATTTGCCTCTATGTCTAGCCCTGATTCAGGAAAAAGTGAGAAGCTTGCATGCTGACTTGAAGGCTAAACGTGGTAGTGGTGAAAGTGATGGGGAAGATTTTGTTGCTAGTAGGGGTTGGTTTAATCGGTTCCACGTAAGGGCAAATGGTGTTTGGAAAAAACACCCCCTCACCGTTTGTCCACAATGTTCGGGGCTCTGAAAATGATGTTGGGGAAGTGACACAGACAGTAGTAGACCTTGGGAACTAACTCCAGCTTGATATTCATGAGGATGATGTCACGCAGTTGCTTGAGTCTCATGCTGAAGAATCAAGCAATGAGGACATGATTAAACTGTAGAAGCAAATTCTGTCAGGGGATGTAGAGGAAGCTGAAACTCCAGAACCAAAGCGATTCATTACAAAATAAATGGCAGAAGGTTTCAGGCTTATTGAAGAAGGATTGTTTAAATTTAAACAGCAAGATACCAACATAGCAAGATTCACCAAGATTCATAGATGTATTCTTGAACATCTACGAAGGTACGGAGAGATTTATGACGAGAAGAAAGTTTCAGTTCAACCATCCCAATAAAGTCTCTGTCACTCCTACAAATGACCATCTCTACGTGCAAACCAGTCCCAGGTTTCAATGTAAGTGTTAAACTTTAATCTTTACTTTTCATTACTGTATTTTGTCATTCAATTTCTCTTTTTCTCTTAAATTAAGTGATTCGAGATGTACAAAAGGACTTTGGCTAAGATATAGTGCACATAGGGTATAGTGTTCCGACTTACGGACATTTCTGACTTAAGACGACCTCAGGAACGGAACCCGTTTGTAACCCGGGGAACCCCTGTACAATAGAGTAATAGAGAACCCTCTCATTGTAAACTTTACTCTTGTCATACATAATTGGACATTAAGATAAATAGATGTACTTAAAAAACTTGTTTGAAAAACACCTTTGTGAGAACATTGAGCCTTGTTTTGCCAGACCTCCTGAAATCTGTGATAGAACTTACCACACTTAATCTGAGGACAACACTCATCCTTCTGCAGTTGGTCTTTTGATACATCCTGAAATTCTGGACAAATGACCTCATGACATTTTCCAGTGCATCGTTTGATGTATTTGGCACAGCACCCCGAGTCTTCCACCGTCCACTCCTCACCTGGTGCATATAAAATAACGTATTGAAAATACTATACAACATATATGAAGGCTACATGGAATTCTAATTTGGCAAAAAGATATGTCAATTTGTTGAACTGATTACACCAATGATTAACACTACTATTTTCAATCTATAATAAATAATATAGTAAAGTCTACTCAAAGTAAGTGTCTATGGCAAAGGGGTTAAATTGGATGCATATAAAAGTCCAGTAATAAGATGCAGATATTATGATACAGGTTGTACCTCTCTAGTCCGGCAACCTCGGGACCTGACTGGTGCCGGACCATGGAAATTCACCCTTTTCCTGGATAGATAGTGACTTGTGCTTATGCTTGGAAGCACTAGCACCACTTTCTCTGCATCATGGTCTCTTTGAAGACATATTGAAGGGTTAAATGTCGTATAGTAGCTTCTCAAATTTCGCGAGTTTTTAATTCTTAACGTATTTTATTGGAACACAAAAAATATATATAAAAAAAATTTTGACGGCGGAAACTTGAATTTCGACGGGTTTGAACGGCCCGCCATCGTGCAGACGACGTGCATAATCGTGTAAACAGCGTCATTTCTTATATGTACGAAAGATTCATTATTGTTTATTACTGAATGTCTTTTTTATTGAATTAATGTTTATGTGTGCAAAATGAGCAATACAATTCATTAATAATACGTAGAATATTAAAACACACGAGGAAATGACACAGCATTGTTTTCGTTGATTACAAAGCCAGTGACTGACAGGTTCTACATAAAAAAATGAAGAAAATAAAACCTTGGTTGTAGCTGTAGTAAATTTTATATGGTTGTTTTAAGTAATGATATTTAATGTTATTAAATGGAACAATAGAAGTAGCTAACGATAATGGTAAAGAAAAAAGGAGAGATCGCGTATGTAAGTGCACATGCGCACACGTGAAAACATATTGTCATTACTTTACAAAAGAATATGAAAGCAACACTTATTTACTGTTCATATATATTTTAATTAATGTTTCTGAATTTGTTTTTATTGAATTAATGTATGTGTGTACAAAATTAACAATACAATTTATTAATAATACGTGGAATATTAGAGGAGACGAGACAGCTGCCGGCATTGTTTATGTTAAAGCTTACGAAACCAGTGACTGATTGGTTCTACATATAAAAATGAAGAAAATAAGACCCTGATTTTAGCTGTAGTAAAATTAATGTAAAAAAATTAATATGGTTGTTTGAAGTACTACCTGTAATGATATTTAATGTTAATACATGGAACAATATAAGTAGCTAACCATTAATGGTAAAAAAAAGTGAGACTGCACGTATGTAAGTGCGCACATGTGAAAACATATCGTCATTACTCTACATAATATGAAAGCAACAGGCAGAGGCATGCACGGTAGACTGTAGATGTGCACTCCATGACTGACCCATGTGAACTGACCAACACTCATAAAATTGTTTACACCGAGGCAGGCGGTCGCCATCCACGGCGACATGTGCAGCATATTTATTCGTAAATATCTTTCATAATTTGAAATTTTATCAAATACACTGTACCCTCCTTAATTTGGATTTCAGTTTAATTCATACGCCTTTTTTTAATGAATTAAACAAAATGAATTGTGAATGAATCTGAAAAAATCGTGCGGTTCTGAATATTCGGAATTTTATATAATTCAGAACAACTGTACTCTTGGAATTTATTCAAAATAACTCGGGAAATGTCGAGTTATATAAATTTATCTTGAAAAATATCTGCATATTTAGCCACTGATTGGCTCGTTAGCCGCTTGGGTGGTTGGTTACATCTCTAATAAGCATGTTGGCAGATACTGGGCATGCACTGGCTCCAGAATATATCGGAACCTGCTACAGTGCAGGTCGTCTGGCCTTGAAAGAGCTCACACTCGGAGCCGTGACAACGCTCTCTGGCAGATTGTTCCAAGAGTTCACAATTCTCACTGTGAAAAAGTTTGCCCTTACAGTTTCTGGACTTGTAGCTTCTTCAACCTTGAGCTGTGACCCCTTGTGGGGCGGACGTCCGCCAGCTCCAGGTATGTACATTTGGCCGAGTAGTGCCCCCTGAGATGTTTATACACTTTGATTATGTCGCCCCTCGCCTGTCTGTAGTATAAGCTAGGCAGTTGCAGGCGTCTTAATCTCTTTGGGTAACTGAGGTTCCGTAAAGCAGGAACCACTCTGGTGGCCATCCTTTGGATATTTTCAATCAACTGACAGTCTCCAGCATATCTTGGGGACCAAACGGGGCGACAGTACTCTAGACGGGGAAGCACCCTACTCCTGAAGATCGTGACAAGCGACGGACCATCCGGATATCTAAACGACCATCTTACAAGACTTACTAGTTTTGTTACCTGATTTACCCTCTTCTCACAATGGCTCAAGAACTTCAGTTCATTTTCGACATACACACCCAGGTCATTTTAACATTCAGTCCCAATTAATGTTGTTTCTTCGTCCTATTGGGACATGTGATAGGCCTCCTTACAGTTGGTGTGACCTAGGTGCATCCTTTTGCACTTCGTGACATTGAATCTTAGCAGCCATTTCTTCGACCATTCTTGAAGTTCAAAGAGATTTTTCTGTAGCTCTTCACAGTCTGTTTGGTTCTTAATTTCCCTAAATAACTTGGCATCGTCAGCAAACATTTGTATGGAGGAATGTACAGATTCAGGCATGTCATTTATGAAGCAAACAAACAGCAACGGTCCCAATAAACTGCCCTGTGGTACCCTGCTTGTCATAGATACACACAACAATTTTGTACCATTTATCACCACACATTGTTTGCGGTCATGCAGAAAGTCTTTGATCCATGCAAGGACACCTCCCCGAATTCCGCAAACTTCAAATTTAATCCTCAGCTTTTACATGGGGTACACTATCGAAAGCCTTGGCAAAATCTAGTTATATACAGTTTTGTCAATATTTCCGCCTTCTTCTACAATTGGAGTCCAAACATCCAGTACCTTGAGTAATTGTGCTAAGCAGGATCTTCCGGGCATAAAACCGTGTTGGCAATCCTTTACAAGGCTGTTTCGTAGTAGATGTTCCATCATGACATCTCTTATAATGCTCTCTAGTTCTTTACACACAATGCTGGTCAGGCTCACTTGTCTATAATTATTCATGGAGTGACGATCGTCCTTCTTGCATATTGGACTCACATAAGCCATCTTCCAGTCATCGGTGACCTTTTGCTCCTCCAGGCATTTGCAGAACAGGATCTTAAGGGGGCTCCACAAGCTCATTACACTGTTCTCTTAACACTCTGGGTTGCACCATATCTGGGCCGGGACTCTTCTGAACCTTTAGCTTTGACAGTTTTTCTTATAACCTCTTCTGTGAACACAATGTGGGTCAGCACTATGTCAAACCGTCTTTCCTCAAATGCAGGAAGATTGTTTGCATCCTCTCTTGTGAACACTTAGGAAAAGTGATGGTTCAACGCCTCCGCCTTATCCTGGTCATAATCTGCATAACTACCATCTTCAGGCCTCAGATCCGATATGCCTACTCGTGTTTTTAATTTCCCCTTTGCATTTCGGTAAAAGCCTTTGGGTTTTACTTGACCTCGCTTGCAATCTGTGTTTGGAACTCTTTTTCAGCCATTCTACACTCTGACTTTGCTTGGTTCCTAGATTTGGCATACATTCTCCTGTCCTGCTCATTATTTGTCCTAACCCACGTCTTCTTAACTTTGCCGACTGCCGCATGGCTCATGTGTAGGGGTCTTCTTGTTTTCCTGGAGGCACTGGGTTTGGTCTTAGGTATATATTTATCAATTGAGTGTTTAACTTTACTGGTTATGATATTCAGAGAAGTATCTGCATTCTTATTTCTAAGTATGTCAGACCAGTGTATACTCCTCATCTCCTCCGTCATCCCATTGCAATTTCCTTTGTAATATTAGAACCTGGACCTGCTTTTGTCATGCACCAAGTAACAGTTAATTCTGAAGGACAACGTTACGTGGTGACTGGTGCCAATAGGGGCTAGGTGCTCCAGATTGGCCACCATACCCTCCTCGTTAGTTATGATGAGGTCCAGTGGTTTGGGTGTTTACTCCCTCCCCCTATAGTGAGAAGGATCTTCAATATGTTGGAATAGAAAATCTGTCTCTCTTGAGTTTCTATGAAAAGGGTGGCGGAATTATTTAGGTCGTTTGGCGTGGATTCATTTCTCCAGTCGATGTCACCATAATGAAAGTCCTTCATGATAAGAAGGTGACTAGGGTTTCGCACTGTTACATTGTCAATTAAGGCTTTTAAGTTCCTTTGGTTTAATACACTACAGTTTGGGGATCTGTAAATACATCCAACAATGAGCAAGTCTTTACTCTACAGTTTAATTTTACACCACTTTGATTCTTTGAAAACATCCTCTCCCTGCCCCCTCAACTGGCTGGCTCTAAGGTCTTACCTAGCATAGATAACCACACCTCTCTTGCAAGTTTCTTGGGAAAAGTTCATAAATGAGTCATATCCATCTTTACTGAACTCACATTTCTCCGGTTTGCTTCTCTTCATAAATTACTATTAATACCTGTAAAACCCTCGTAATCTGGATTAATTGGAGGGAAATCCAGTCCATATTTTGCGAATTTCTGGATAAAACTATTTCCAGGGGGGGTTTATTTAATCCGGAGAAAGTCTGGATTAACCGAGAAAAATCCACATGACAATCAGGATTGCCATCTGTCGCACACAAGTACCAGCCCCAGCCACTTTGCTTACAAGCCATCACGCTGCTACGGCCCTTGTGTATGTGCATTTCTTAACTCCTGTTGACTATTTGTGACTTTGTGGAGTAATTATCAGGAATTCCAAAGGAAAGAAAACTTAAAAAGGAAGTCAAAAGAGGGACAGAATGAGTCTGGCTTGAAGGACCAGCTCACAGTTCTGGAAGATCATGAAAAAGGCGTCTGCACAAGTTTTGATGGAGAAATATGACTTGAAAAAATGAACCATCAACAGCATCACCAACTTTGTGTAAAATTATGTTTGTCTAATATATACAAGAATTATATATATTATACTGCAAGTGATTCAAAAGTGATTATTTTTGTCACCACGTGGGTAGATCCGGACAATTTCATGTTAATCTGGACTCAATTCAGATTAACAGAAATTAGTTCGGAGTGGTTTGCCAATCTGGATAAAGCAGAAATCCACATAAAAAAGTCCATTAAGACAGTTTTACTGCAATGAGACTTTTTGATGTAGACGGCAAACGCAGTGGTCATGTTACGACATGTTTAGAAATGCATACGCTACATCTTCATCTGTTTGTCAAGACAGCTCATTCGATTAGTCTCGAGTAAGTGTTAGATTAACGATGAGCGTTTTGAATTTTGCACAGTACAGTACTTCGGAAGAACATCGATCTGTTATTAATTTTTCAAATTCAGAAGGGATACAACCAAGTGAAAATCATTGCAGAATGTCACTTCAATACAGAAGCAATTGCATCAGTCGGGTGAACATTTACAAGTGGATTGAATAATCCAAGAAGGGTCGAACAAGCATTGTGGACGAAGATCGTGCCAGATGACCTGTCAAAGGTTCAACACCTACATTGCACCAGAATATTGAGTGGGAAATTTGGGGAAACTGAAGCATTACAATTGAACAAATTGCGACATACTTGAATGCCAGAGTTGGTACAGTACACAATGTCGTTCATGACATTCTGAAGTTTAAGAATAATAAAGAGGTCAAGAAAGAAATCTGAAATTGGTTAATGAGACAGTCGAAAGAATTTTTTTCCACAGTAATAAGAAAACGTGTGGAAACATGGGAAAAGTGCATAGGTATAGCGGGAGATTATATGGAACTATAGGTATATGTTTCTTTATCATCTACAATGTGTGAAAAAGTTTGTCTTCATATGCAAAAAAAACTTGCATGTACTGTGTATGTATGTATATATGAGTGAATGCGTGATTGTGTATATAACTGTTTATGAATACATGTTTGTCTGTAAACTTATGCATGTACTGTAAGTGTTACCTGTACACATGGAATCTTATGTGTCCAAATGCAAAAGAGTCAAAATGTGTGTATCTGTAGATAGTGGGACAATTTCCTTATATGAAGCTTCTTTACCTGGTTTAAGATCCTCATCTCTGGGCTTAACTAGCTGAGGACATTCTTCTGATTCTAGACATACACAAGCATACTGAGGGCACTTGCCAAGTGCCTCAATAAGCTTCCATATTTGTCCATAACCACAATCACCCTGTGGTTCAACTGGAGTTGTACAATTTTCTTTGGGTATTTCTTTACACTTAAACTGTGGTCCACAACAACCATCCTCAGTTCCAGGAATCTGTCATTTGTAAAGAAATTTAATAAATGATTTGGCATTTTGAGTCCTAGATTTCCTAAAACAAATATCAGTAACACTCATCATAATTTTTCTAAGCAATAAAATGACAACTTTCACTGTAGTGGCACAAACCTCAGTCAGTTGAAAACCTGCATCACAGATGAGAGGACGAAGACATTTCTGTTCCATGCAAAGGTTGCCATTCTCAGTACAATTACATGTAGTACAAGCATCTGCCTGCCAAGTATCACCTACACGGTGCCCCTCATCATCACAGACATGGCAATAGCTTTTGTCAACACAGGTTCCCTCATACAATACCTGAGATCATAAGCAAAATTACATTACCCTGTAACCAGTAATTTAAATATCTTCTCAGTAATGTGAAATCACTATGTAATTTTAAGCAAGACAATTATGGAAAGTAATTCCAATATACTCGTGTGTGTGTGTGTGTGTGTGTGTGTGTGTGTGTGTGTGTGTGTGTGTGTGTGTGTGTGTGTGTGTGTGTGTATATAAAGGGATTTACTTATAAAAACTGACCATGTCCTCAGGGCAGAAGCAGCCATCAACAGTAGAAACAGGGCAAGCATCAGGTTTCTTTTCAAGCTCCTCATAGTTTTCACAGGTATGTACACAACCTGATACACATACACGATACTCCTGACCTGAAAAGGTTATATATAACAGTCTTATGCATCTTATGAGTTAATGTTAAAACAGATCAGTACAGCAGAGGATCAATGTTTCACAATTAAACAATGAACATAAAAATCAGAATCTCCAAAATACAAGACATACCTCCAGTACATTTCTTTGGACATAGTTCTTCAGAACGCCAGTCTAAACAGATGTCCAAGTCAGCACAGCGTCTGGCATAAGCCTCAAGACTGTGGCATGCTGCTATTTTTGGCTCAGTACTATTACAAATATCAAGTTGACAAGAGGACACATATGGCACTGGATCCTCAACTGGGTGGCACTGTTTAAAATGTTAATCATATTTTAGTCAAATTAAAGATACTTCCAGCTACTGGCAATTTGGTAGCACATTCATAATAATATTTCATGGGAAGTAATGAAAATCAATCTTCCTCTGTGTACAACAACTGAATGCATAGTCAAATTAATTTTACAATTATTATCTGCATATTATGAGTAGATACAGTACTGTATTGTGTTCTAGTTCACATTTAAGGTTTTCCGAACTAAATCAGGTTCAGTTAGAGCATCATAAACTTATACACTGTCTTAAAGTAATCAAAACCATGACTATCCTAGCATATAGATCACAAAGGTCATTAAGAAGTGTTAAGGATGACAAAATACAGTATATTGAATACTGTATTAGTAATGCCAGAAAGTTTTAACCTGTACTTTGGGTTATACCTTTTAATTCTTTAAAGCCTATACAGTACAGTACAGGTATTCCTCGCTTAATAAACATTCGAGATATGAAAATTCACTAATACAAATTCCTAAATTAACCCATCTTTTTCATTTAACGAAAGCTTCCTTGCTTATACAAATTTGAGTCCCAGCAATAATTTAATTCGTGTGCCCTTGGGAGTCAGCTGGGGTGACCATCTTGGAGAGATGGGCAGAGACGTATTCTTGCTCAATGATCACAACAAATCCCCTTCCTCCCACATCTCCCCCCAGCCCATGTCTTTTGTTCCACCATTCCTCACCCCTTGTGGCGAGCCCCGAATGCCCTCCAATAGGGTATTCGCTCCCGCCATTCAGTTTATTTGCTTGAATTCATAGTGGAGAGTGACGGTGTGCTTATTTAAGTGTTACACTTAACATCGCTGGTGGCATTGTTGGCAAGTTAGACTCATTACTGTAGTCACATGCCCCAGCCCTCTTGCTACCAGGCCAAGCTGTAAGCAGTGATGGGCATCGATACACTAAATTGTCTAAAGTGATACTGATACATCAATACTCAGTAATTCATCTAGAGCGATACCGATACATCGATACTTCGTAGATGGTTAAAGCGATACCGATACTGATACATATATCACCGATAAGGTATCGTCGATACATTACTATAAGAATAAAGAAATCCCACTAATATGTAAATTTTTTATTTTGGTAATGGATGTAATACAAACAATAAATGCAACAGAATCGTGTATTTGATAACCCCCCAAAACAAAATTTAAATGTATAATGAACTTTTAGTAAAAAAAAAAATGTTGGTGGTCTGAGCTACTTTCCAAGATATCATTATATCAATGGACCTGGTAAATTAATAATTATTGCCTTTCAGCAAGACCAGTTCACCAAACATCTTATCTGGAGAGTGAATGTGGGCCGCCAAACTAAAGAGTCGATCCACAGGAGCAGAGGATGGAAGACGGATGTTGTATTTCATTAAAACTTTCACAATTCCTGGGTACTGATTTAGTGAGGACAACACATTGCTTGAGTCGCCCAGGTATTTTAACACCTCTATCTCAGATGAGTTTTCATCTGGAGTGACAGTGGATGAAGCACATTCATAATCAAAGAAGACTTCTGAACTTTCGTCAGATGCATTGTCACTCTGCTCATCATGATGACTTGTGCTGAGTGTGCATGTTGAATGCTCTTCCAGATTTTGTATTGCATTCACCTACATTTCTTGAACTCGTTTCTTTATGACGTTCGTACTGTATTTTCTAGTTATTGTCAATCATAATAGCTTGAACTGGGGGTTGGATGCTGATTCCAAAATGGCTGATTTGCTGTCATGAGAATTATCGAGGCTAATAAACTTATTCTCCTTAACTGCATTAAGGAGAAGTTGGCAATGCCTTAATGCTGTTGAATTGAGCCGCCCCATTTTCTTCTCTACAGCCAAGAGTGTTGGGAGCATACAACCATAGAAGCACTGTTTGTATGATTTTAACCTGTCAAAAGCTGATGCAAGAGGTTGTAGTACAGTGACATACTCTTCAGTGAATTTGAACTCGGCATCTCTGAAGGTTGGCAAACCAAGGCGAGACAGTTTCATGTATAGTTGATCCTTGTGCTTTAAAAGGAGAGACAAGCTGTCAAAGAGGGAATTCCATCTAGTGGCACATGGTAATATTAACTGACAGTTCAGTGTTTCCTTGATTATTTTCGCAGATTTTGGTCTTCCAGATAAGTTCTAGGGGGCAGAACACTTACTCATAACACTATTGTGAAGCTTAGAGTATGGTCCTTTCATCGCAGATTTTGCATCGGTGGTGCAGAGAAGACTAGTGGTAAGGGAGCAGCATCTCAAGTGTGCAGAAAGAACTATCTCTTCTGCATAATCAACTTCAATGTGTAAATTGGAGAATGCAAAATCATCTTCAGTGCTGTCCTGGTCACCAGCCATATAATTATCTTCATGCTCGTCATCTTCGGTGTATTTTCGTGTTAGAGGGACACTAATTCCGTATTCTTTGAAGACCTTCACGAAATTACTTCCATTGTCAGTGACAGTAACAACAATCTTGCTCTCACTGATCGAAAACTCTCTCCTCATATTATCCAAATTTTCTGCTATTTTGTACACAAAAAACAATACAATAAGCTCTAATTCCCACTCATTTCATCCCAAATATTGGATAACAGCTAATTGCTTTGGAAAAATCCCGAAATGGCAACTACAAGCTGACGGGAATCAGTCCTGTCCATATGGTATTGTAGGAGATACCGACTGTACCCTCCCCCCACTAAGAGACCACCACACATACCCCATGTACACCCGTCCTCGTTCCTCCTCGACTCCCCTCTCCTCTGCTTCAAGTCCTGCAGGAGCTTCTTGTGCTGTTCCCTTTGCATTACCGTGCGATCTGGGTGAATGAATACATTCTGGAATGCCTCACTCCTTGCTAAGTTTTTTGCCTGCCAAATAACTTCCCATTTCTTCTCCTCACTCACTAGTGTGATCCTGAGGGGGCGAGGTTTGTCCTCCTGCTTTTGTCCCAGCCTCCTCACATCCTGAGGGGTTGATGGCATATTCAGAACCTCTGTACAAATATTTTCATGTGTTTTCCTACTCTCAGCTTCCTCCGACTGGCTCTCGGGGACTCCATAAACTATTATGTTGTTCCTGCGCTTGAAACGTTCCCGCTGTTCGTCCTTTCCCCTAACAGTAGGTCTGCTAGTTGCCATATCTTCTACACACTTCTTAAGAGTCCCTAGCTGCTGTAGAACTTGTTCTGATCCTGCATTAATCTCCGGCACCTCCCGTGGCCCTGCTAATGCCTCAGCATAACTCCTCTTAGCAACCACCTCCATTCTACCGGCTACTTCCTCAGTCTTAGCAAGGATCTCTTTCCCAACTTGTTCTAGTTTGGCAACCAACAAGGATCCAGGTTCATCTATTTTTGTCCCTAGGGAACGTTTCCCTATGGCTTGATCGCCTCTTTCACTTTGTCTATGCAGTCAGGGCAATACCAGCAACAGACTTCATGCTTTACCTCATTCTGTATCGTCCTAAAGGTTGGATTGCTCAGACCCACACAATCAATATCCGACGTTGACGCTTCAGCCCCTGATTCGTTACCCTTCACAGTTGTTGCTGAGGAGGGGGGGGGGTGCAGACTCTGTACAGATCTACTCAGCCTTAAGCCCACAAGTTTACCACGTGACGGACTTCTAATCGTCGGCTTAATAATAATATTGATCATTATTATTATTATGACAACTGTTTCTAATCTGTGGCATGGTAGCCGGGCTTTAGCATCAAGGTCCCTTTAAAAGCCCCGCTTTGCTGCCTGCGTTAAGGCCGTTATGACTGGTTCCACCCACCGTGCTTGCACAATGAATTTCTTCTGGCAAAGAAATTTACCCCTGAGTGGGATGACTTCCTTTATAATCACATCTACTAATTGAAGTCTAAGTGAAGTGAGCTGTGGGAGTGATCATGCCCGTGTGACATTCCAATGTTTTTTAAAAAGGAAAAAAATCACTTAGGTGCCCTCTGGTCTTAACCTTCCCTCGTGTGTCCAGTGTTGCCGCCCAAGACAGTTTGAGTTGTCTTCTGTTTTTTTTCAGTTCTCCTCAACGAGTTGTTGTTATCTATGTCCTATCCCTATGTACTGTGCACTGTGCCTTGCTTTGAATGACGGATCACATGCCCACTCAGTCCTTTAGAAACACTGAAAAAAAAACTTTCTTTGAGGCGGCAATAAAATGCCATTCGAGATGGGCAGGCTTTTTTTTTTAACTATTATTTACTTATGTTCTCTTTTCCAGTTCTCCTCAATGAATATATCTCCAGTTGCTATCATTGTGTACACTGTATCTCCCTATGAATGGTGCATTGTAGGCACAATTTCAGTCCCTGAGAGAGCACACACACACAAAAGAAAAAAAGTCTGTGGCACCAATAATACGAATTGGTTATTGCCGGCAGTGGTGCCTTAATTGCTTGCCCCAATTTGTTCTTCACTTCAATTTTTTTACAAACTCCTCCGTGGTCACTGATGTCACTATGGACTGTCTTAACTAAAGGCACAATACTACACTCTCTGGTTGGCCTCTGGATGGCCAATCATAGCCATGAACACCACTAAAAAATAAAAAAAATAAAAATCTTTTCATATGGCAATGCTTTTATGGTTGTATGCCTCCTGACCTAGGCTGTACCTCCAGTCGGTGGAGAGTGAATTTCAAATATGCAATCGCGAATAACATTAAAAATCCTACATCGATTTCCACATTCACATCACTAAGACGATCATCATTCACTTATGTAATCAGTCTAATTTCTGCCACTCAACAACAAAGGCCCAAACGCCATCGCGCTTTGTTACAGAGACGCAACACGACCAAACCCGCACTGCCTAACGCCTAATACTTATCTTTCTTAGCTTTCATTTTTTTTTCACCCAGTTTCATGTACACACAATCCTTCCTATATAATATGCAAAAAAATTAAAGAAATAACTATTATAAGGTCAAAAACAAGATAAATAAACATTTGCTTGTATGTGAGAGTTAGCACACTGAGCAGGTGAGCTGGAAAGGGGCTTGGAGGCAGCGTCCCAGCTGGGCCGAGTTGCTATGGAGAGCTTTGACGCCACGCCGCTGCATTTTATGGAAATGACGACAGTTAAACTTTAATTTAGCTTTTCCTTAATGGTTTTAGCTTCATAACTTTATCTAGATGGTATTTTAATAATATTTTTAATGAGTTAGGTTGCAAATTACAGTACAGAAAAATATTCATAAATCGTACCCTTCTAATTCAAAATCACTCATAATAAATAAAAAAAAAATAATGGGTAGCCATTTAACAGGAGACGGTGAGAGAGCGGAACAGTGAATGAGGAAATGCCAGCTGTAGCGTCTCTCCTTCCCACCCTCATGGTTTGCTTCTACACACATAATGATTAATTCTCCCTATGTTTTTGACCATAAGATAATTATTAAAAAAAATGGCACATAATATATGTGATGCACATTTATTAACTGAAATAGGCCTAACCAGTACTTTATGGGCGATTTAAGGGATTTTCAAGGGTAATTTTGACTGTACACATTTTTGGCTTTATGCGCCCTCTTCGGAACGTAACCCCTGAGTAAGATGTGACACAACTATCTTAGGTAAAATTTCAAAATATGAGAGACATTTTGAAATATCACGTTATATATTAAAAAAATCGCATTATTTGGTAAAATTTTGGATGAGAGACATTTACAAATATATATGACGTACATGTTGCCATGGGATGCGACTGCCCAACCGCCTAAGTGTAAACAAATGCTATACGTGCAACGCAAGGTAGGTAGATACCTACCTTGGTGTAACGCATATCAATCAGTCAGTTCACGTTGGTCAGTCGTGAAGTGTGCATCTAAGGTCTAGAGCGCAAGCTTTTTCCACTTGTCCAGTGTTTGTGCCACTATGTCTGATAACCCTAGACCAAGCACCTCAAAAACTACTGTAATTGGGGCATATAAAGAAAAAGTAAAGTAATGTTTATCAGCCAGGTAAGTTTCTATTGTTCGTGAACCGATTTCATGTTTTTGGGGTATAATATTGGGGTTTTCTTGTCGTTGGGGAACTGAACCCTATTTTCCTCATTTGTTCTGATATTGAAGATACAAAAATTCACTTAATAGATGGTTTTCTAGGAACTAAACCCACAGCATTAAGTGAGGGTTCCTGTATTAAGTTATAGAGGTAATTAATATACACCAAAAGTTTAAAATCAAGTACAGTACTGTATTTGAACAGTAAATTACTTTAACTTATGATATTTGCAAACTATTAAATAACAACAACGGAAATAATAATAATGTACATTAATAATTTAATAAAATTAGAAGAAAAAATTATTTTGTGAAATGGAATAAAATCCAGAGAGGACCAGAAAAAAAGTCAATCTTTTCTAGATTATACTGAAAGAATAAACTAAAATGCAGACTATTGTACATCCTCTACAAAGGTTATACAGTACATTAAAGGTTACAGCAACTTGAAGAGAAAGATATGGTGTTGGGAACTTTGAAATATTAAATGGGTAAGGATTCAGTTTTGCTGTCTATTAAACATGCTTTACCCCCTATATCCTATGAATTACATAAATTGCAAAACATAGAATAGAAAAAAGTTTGCTAATAATAAGGATGACAATTTACTTATACGAACCTTTCCAAATAGCTCTTGATCCATAATATGTAGACATGGATCCTCATCAGGAGGCAGTGGTAGGCAGAGGTTCTTTTCCTTCTTCAACACACCACAAGAACTTGGTTCATTCTTCAACAACCAACTACGTCCAAAAGTCTCTACAGATTCAACCAAGCCAATGTTCTTTGCCACAGTGTCATCATCCTTATTGTAGTTGCAGTTGCCTAGAATATTGAAAGATTAAGTGAAAGAAGTTTAATCATATATATATATATATAAATATATATATATATATATATATATATATATATATATATATATATATATATATATATATATATATATATATATATATATGTGCAAGTAAATCACTGTAGGTGCGCGTGATCTAGGTATATGCTGATAACCACAAGGAAAGAAGAAAACACGAAGTTCCCAAGCGCTTTCGTGTAATTCACATCTTCAGGGGTGAGTACAGACTAAAGAGAAATACAAACCAAGGTGTATATATACAGAGGAGGGTGAGACCAGGTCCACAATGGTCAGGTATTAGGTAATGACCCTACTAATCTTTAAATAGCACACAACGGTTGGTGGTCAGGTCAGATGGTCGGGTGACCCGATCTTCTCACCTGGTTACAAATCTTCTTGATTACAAAATTGTCCAGCGTGTACATGCCGTTACTCAAATTCATGTATATATATATATATATATACACACATATATATATATATATATATATATATATATATATATATATATATATATATATATATATATATATATATATATATATATATATATATATATATATATATATATATATATATATTTAATGATCATTTGGGGAAGTGTTGGAGGTAGTGTTGGGGAAGTCATCTGTGTACAACATTCAGTGTATAGTTGTTCAATTGTACATCTATACTCACAACCCTTAGCTGATATTATTTTAATCTTAAATTACTGAAGATTTTGTGTTCTATTGATAATTCCTTTTCAATTCAACTCTCCTGTCTTGTTGGTCACCTAATGTTGTCTCTCTCAAACATTTATATTTACTTCAAATTTCCTCAGTAGTTGTGGGTATTACTATGTGCTGCCCTGAATATTTCCTCACCATACTTTCTGTTCTTCTTTTTACTGGTGGATCACAAGCACTGATACACTCTTTTAAAAAAATTACCCTAACATTATAGGAAAAGATTTTCATTATACATCATTTGTTTCACATATACGTCGTCTGCATCATCCACTGTTTTTTACTTAGTCCGTGTGTATCAGAATATGACCCCTAAATAATGTTAAAAACTTAAACTCCCTCTATTGTATAATCGAGAGTCCCTGACCCCTCCCCCCCCCCTCCACTGATAACTATGCACCCAGCAATCTCCCCACCTGGCTGTGGACAACTCACCTCCCTCCCCCCTCCTCCCAGCCCGAAGGCAATCACGACTAATGGGTTGAAGGTGGTTTTAGGCTTAAAGTTTTTCTCTTATATAATGCCACAGACTTGACTTAGCAGAATATAACTTACAGAGCTGAAATCCTTGCAAGACAGCGATTAATTTGAGTATAAACGTCACATAGTTTACACAAGAGATAAAATTTTTAGTCCCTTAGCTTAGTGCATTTGAGTACAAAGTGAGTACACTAATATGTTGCTCAAAATTATGTCTTTTTCATAGGGAAAAGTCTGTATAATTAACCCCAGTGGTCAGGATATTATGGCAATGAATGATATAGAGTATTTCAAATAAATTCCTTGATTAGATCTGAGATTTTCCGGGTAACGGAAAATTTTTCTCAGAAGTCCCAGAATGATGCATTATTTCATCTCTCAAAGCCGGAAAAATATCCCCCATCCCTGGAATTTTCTGGATACCAGAAAAATTTTCTCAGAATATCTGGAAAAATATGCCCGATTTTCATCTCTCAAATCCGGGAAAAAACTCCTCCATCCCTGGAGTTTTCTGGGTACGTGTGTACTGGTGAAATTTTCTCAGAATTTTTCAGAAAATGTGACTCTCGGAAAATTGTTCCTAAAGCCAAAATTTTCTGGAAAATTCTCGCTTTGGAAATGGTTTTCCAAGAAAATTTCAATTCCAGCTATCGGAGAATTCCGGGTTTGAGGGATTCTGGCTAAGGGAGATATTACTCTGAAATAAATTAAAATTTAGGCGTTTGTGAATGTGATTAAGCAGGTGTGTTTTAACAAAATAATCAATGACTTACCACACAGCCCTTCAGTCTTGTTGAAATAAAGATGCGATGGTAAACGAATGGAAAATCCAAAGTTTTCAAGATGGTAATTCACCTCCATTTGTATTTCATGAATGGCTGCCATAACCTGGGTTTAAAAACAATTTATTAGAAATAAAGGAATTAAATGAAATATATATTTACATTAGGCTAGGGTTGCCATATCTGAACATTAAAAAAAGAGGGCGTTCCCGAAGACATCCCCCCACCCCACCCTCCACCCCACCCCCACCCCCGCCGCCCGGCACACACTTTGGCGCTATGTAACCTTGAAGCAGCAGTGACAATTAATATTTGCATAGCATTAATATATATATATATATATATATATATATATATATATATATATATATATATATATATACACCAGTATCAGTGTACTGTATTGCATTGTGTTTTTTGTAGGCTAATATACAACATACATGGTATAGAAATCTTAAAAAAAAAAAATTACCTTTGCTTAAGGCTGAATATCTTCTTTAGCTGCAGTCTTCTTCCCCACTGTGTGTGTGACTTTATGTGCCCATGCATACTTTTCTGTAGATCGGATCTTTTTCAGTATTGGCTGATTGCTCTTTAGAAAGGTATAGAAGTCACTGCAAGATGTTTCTCGGAAGTTGTACTGTACAATCAGAATGCCTTTCATTGTTTCAACACTCAATTTGTTCCTTTCCTTTGTCCATTGACTTTGCATCAGTTAAAAAAAACTCTTTCTACATTTGCATTGTGAGATGATATAGCAAAGAAGAATTGTGCAATTCTTAGCAATTCTGAGTGGCATTGAAAGTTCTTTGATTTTTCAAAGTATCTGGTCCACTTTTTATGTGTTGGCAGATTATTAAATTCTTCATCACTCTTGTAATTTTCCACAAACTGCTTCAGGTTACTACCTTGGTCAAAACACTTCACATCATCAACTTCTACCCCCTTATCAATCAAATATTTGACAGCTAAGTTGACAACACCGTACAGGAGTACACGTGACTTATCAGCTGACGAAAACTGAACGAGATCTCTACGGTTTCCGCCTCCTCTCTCTCTCTCTCTCTCTCTCTCTCTCTCTCTCTCTCTCTCCCTCCCTTTCTCTCTCTCTCTCTCGTCATTACAGTTTCGTGTTTTTTTTTCCGCGGAGAAAATGATGGAAGCTGAAATTCCGGACTTTTGAAGAATTTTAAAAATTACTTCCGGATGAAGATTTCGAGACCTAAATGGAGGACATGTCCGGGTAAATACGGACGTATGGCAACCCTACATTAGGCAAAGTAATTAAGAATCAAAAACTCAGAAGTATGGTATAAACTGATGTTCATATTGATTATTTAAAAAATGGTTATCAGATTAACTGTAATCAATGCATGTGTTTACTTTGGCTGAGAAAAGTTTTCTATAATCTATTCATGTCTTTAACTTGCTGTGAAAATAAAGTTAAGAGATAATGTTCTTATGTATATTCCTTTATTCTCATTCAAAAACTGCTTCCCGGCACAAGAACTATATACCTGATCACACCTGACTATATGGCGAAAAGTGAACAATGTAGATGCTGAGAATGAAATGCGGCCTGAACCACTACCAAGTTTCACTATTATGATAGTTTTAGTTTGATAGTCATGTACTGTGGTACACATCCATTCAGACTCAGATCAGGACAAGGCAAAGGTGTTAATTATATTTTTTCCTCATTGTTCATAAGAGAATACGAACAACCTCCCTGCATTCGAGGTAAAACAGTTTGATAATGCAATAACACACATTGAGTTCTCAAAAGTGTGTATTAAACCAAATCGTCAAAACTCAAGGTTCATAAGAACCCTGGCCTTGAGAGTGTGGATCCCAGAGTGTTAAACACATTGTACAATGAACTTGCTGAATCCCTTAAAATGCTGTTCTGCTGATGCTTGGATGAGCAAAAGGTCCTGAACGACTGGAAAATTACATATTTTAATCATATATATTCAAAAAGCATAATCGCCACTGAATGAAGAATTGCAGGCTGGTGAATCTGACCAGCATACTCATAGTGTGAAAAATACTAGTGAGCATTAGACAAGATGCTGTGATGGAAGATCTACTGTAAAACAACTTTGTAAATGACTGCCAGCATGGTTTTAATCCCAGATGCTCTTGCTTAACACAAATCCTAAAGGTGCTGGATATGTGGATACAGATTCTGAAATGGGGTAGCAATATTGACAGTACTGTATATACAGTAGACCCTTGGCATTGCAGTTTTGACTATTTGAGGTTCATCCCCCCCCAAAAAAAAAGTTGATTAGATACACAAAATTAGTCCTATATTACATAAACAGCTCCTTCTCGTCTCATAATTATCCTCTGGGTGACACCATTATGCCATTAAATAAATAAAAAAAAAAAAAAATTACATAGAGACAGGCAGGCACTGAGGCTTGCTGGCTGGTCAGCTGTTCTTATGTAAACAAACTCAATAACTCTCTGGGGTTGAGTTTGGGATTTTCTTTCAGGAAATTAATATTTCATAAGCCTGGCAGCAAATGAACTTAAATAATATGGGAATTGTGGTGAAGTTATTATAATAGGGTGAGAAATTTTCTTTGGGTCCAGCCCAGCTTCCCGCCATACTTTTTCACACACAATTGCCTTTCCTCTTAACTTTTTCTTATTTTATACTTACTGTATAGTATATTGTATGATTTCATTGTTTTATTAATATTTTCACTAGTATTAAAATAAAACATACTGAAATATTATATTCGGTTGTGTTTATGGGTGACTCAAATATCTTAAACATAATGAACAAACTGGTTCAGTACATCTGTATAGGGGTCCGACTAATTACCCAAATGTACCCAAATGTAGCCAAATATAGCCGGAATGAAGTCAAATAATGGTCCTACATGAATAAATCGGACTGCCAATCACTTCTCGACTAGTATTTGGTGTCACAAAGTCACAAAAAATTGGTAAACTTAATTTAATCTGAGTTAATAGATCAAGTGCATGTACCTAACCTAACCTAATCTAATCTAATCTAATCTAATCTAACCTAACCTAACCTAACACACAACTCAGATTAAATTAAGTTTACCAATTGTTTTTTACTTTATGACACCAAATAATAATCGAGAAGTGATTCACAGCCCGAATTACGCTTGTACGACCATCATTTGACTTCATTGCGGCTACATTTGGCTACATTTGGGTAATTCCTCGCTCCCTCGGTACATGCACGCGATCTATTAACTCAGATTAAACTAAGTTTTCCAATTTTTTGTGACTTTCTGACACCAAATACTAGTCGAGAAGTGATTAGCAGTCCGATTTATTCATGTAGGACCATTATTTGACTTCACTGCGGCTATATTTGGGTACATTTGGGTACATTTGGGTAATTAGTCGGACCGTCTGTTGTTATAGTGTATAGTCCAGTATATACGGCACCCCTTTAAAAGGAATTTCACACTTTCGGAAATTTTATTTTAGTTCCCAGGATCATCATGACAGACAAAAATTTAGCAGTTATAGTAATTTTTTGACGAAAAGCTAAGTACGTTATATAAAATTACCTGTAAGAAAAAAATTACACACTTCATTCAAATTAAACTCCACAATAAATAAACAAAGACGTACCCTAAGTTAAAATTACCTTCAGAACTGTACCACCATTGTTGTCTTACTATCATCACTTCATGTTGTCTACTCGTGAGTTTGTTTATAATAATGAAAGCTCTGTGATCTGTGAAATAGGAACCGAATCTGTGTGGGTAGAAATCACGGAAGGAAGAGAAAAACTAATTATGGGAGTGATTTACAGGCCTCCAAGTCTTGGCAAAGAAGCAGCTCAGCCCATATGGCAGGAAATGAGTAGGGCAGCAAAATATAACAACCTATGCATTATGGGGGATTTCAACTTCAGAAATATTGACTGGGACAACATTGTAGGTGACTATGAATCTGAAGACTTCCTAGACGCAGTACAGGACAATTTTTTGAAACAACTAATTACAGAACCTACTACAGGTGACAATATATTAGACCTAGTATTAACAAATAAAGAAAATATTATCAGAGATATCACAGTAGGGGAAGAACTAGGTAACAGTGATCACAGAGAAATCAGGTTCACCCTAAATTGGTCAGAGCCCCAAACTTTCGGTTGGCGGATTATCAGGGGTTAAGAAGGTACCTAGGTGAGGTCACCTGGGAACAGTCACGTCAGTCCCCAGTAGGAAGGGGTGAGGTCATAGATGACACAACAATTGATCATGACTATAATATATTCACTAGTATAATACATAAAGCACAAGAACAAAATATACCATACAGAAAAATTAGGTCAAATAAGAATGAGCCAAGGTGGATGACCAGAAACTTAAACATGACATAGGACTAAAGAAAGGAATATAAAAGAAATTAAAGGGAGGGGAGGAGCAGCTCAGAAATAGGTATAATGAACTATCTAGGAATGTTAAGAAAAATGTAAGGAAAGCAAAGAGAGACTATGAAATCAAAATAGCAAGAGAATCCAAGGCGAATCCCAAGGGATTTTTCCAGGTATATAGCACAAAGGTGAAGGACAAAGTTGGGCCTTTAAAGTCAGGGAGGGGAGAAGTGATAAATGGCATCTTCCGGCCCCGAATCCTGCTGGCATTCTTTACAACGAATGACTTGGAAGGTAGCTTTTTCCAGAAAAGACCAGATTCGTCCATGTTAAACACCTGGTCGTCACTGTACTGTCCTTCCTCCATAATCTCACGTAAAAACGGAGGAAATTCCCTAGCCGCAGCACGGTCAGCACTCGCTTCTTCACCACCAATGTTTATATTGGTGATCTTGTTCCGGATCTTAAACCTCTGTAACCACCCAGAGGAAGCATTAAAGGGTTTGGGCTCTGTAATTCCCATCTTTCGTGCCACTGCGATGTACAGTTCACGTGCGTAGTCCTTAACAGAGCGCGTGTCGACCGCCATGTTCCGTCGCGCCTGACGCACCAAGTACCTCACAAGTAATTTTTCTGTCTTGAGAAGCACCTGGTTGTGAAAATACTTGATCATAGAAGCACCTGTAGACTTTGTGATCTTCATGTGCTCCTTTATCTTGGCTGCATCCTTCTTTATTGTTCGAATCGTAGATTCATTCACACCATGCTGGCGCGCCAAATCAACCTGCCTTGTTCCTTTCTCCAACTCTTGGATGATGGTATACTTCACCTCGTAGCTTAAGGAACGTCGTGTTTTCTTTGGCTTAGTGCCGCTGGGTCCAGGTAAGGAAAGGTTTCTCTCTGGGGTGGTGGTCCGGCGAAAGCCATTTTAGAGAACAATGGATGCACGTTTACACGGTCTGGCGTGGAGGGATGAAACTGGCGCGGCTAGGTCAAGGATCGTCTTTCCTCCCTCCCTCCCTCCCCCGGGTGGACACGTCATAATACTTTAAGCCAATTACAGCTAGCAGCAGAGGGGGGTAGGGATGCATGGCCAATCACAGTCCGATACGTCATATGACGTCAGTGATAACGCAACAAAGACACACACTGCGCAACCTTACCGCGCGGCTTGCCCAAGCGGAGGGAGGAGGAGGGAGAGGCGAGAGCACAGGCAGGCAGGCGGGTGGGGCGAATCTAAAAATAGCGTCGCGCCGCCGGACACTCTCCGCGTAATGGGGTTCACGCACCGCGTAATGTGAGCACGTTAGGTTCTGGCAAGGCACCGAGTTAACGTGGAAACGCGGAATGTGGGACCGCGTAAAGTGAGGGTTGACTGTATAGCAGATAGCATCCGATCACATCCAGAGAAAAGCATATTAATCTACGACTCTCAACATGGGTTTACAAAGGGAAAATCTTGTCTAACAAATCTGCTAACGTTTTTTAGGAAAGTCTTCGAGGTAGTAGATAATGACGAAAATTATGATGTTATTTACTTAGACTTTAGCAAAGCATTTGACACAGTACCGCATCAGAGGCTTCTGAGAAAAATTAAGGCTCATGGTATCGAGGGGAAAGTTGTAAATCGGATAAAATCATGGCTCACCGAGAGAACGCAGAGGGTCAGCGTAGATGGTGTTAAATCTGAGTGGGGCCGTGTAACCAGTGGGGTTCCCCAGGGGTTAGTACTAGGCCCACTCTTGTTCATAATCTACATAAACGATCTAGATACTGGGATCAGCAGTGACATAAGCAAGTTTGCGGATGACACCAAAATAGGGCGGCAAATTAATTCAGGGCAGGATGCAAATGCATTTCAGGAGGATCTAAATAAACTGCAGGGGTGGTCTGAAAAATGGCAAATGAAATTCAACACCAGCAAGTGCAGCGTACTTACTATTGGAAGAACAAATACTTATAATGTATACAGCCTTAACAACATCAACCTAGAGAAGTTGACTTGTGAAAGAGACCTAGGGGTACTTGTAAGCCCGGACCTACGGCCTAGAAAACAGTGCGTTAATGTTCGAAATAAGGCAAACAGAGTATTGGGTTTTATATCTAGAAGTGTAAGTAACAAGAGTGCAGAGGTCTTATTGCAACTATATCTTGCGCAAGTCAGGCCACACCTCGATTATGCGGTTCAGTTCTGGTGCCCCTATTATAGAATGGATATAAATTCACTAGAGTCGGTGCAGCGAAGAATGACAAAAATGATTCCGGGACTTAGAAACCTTCCATATCAGGATAGGCTAAAGAAACTTAACTTGCATTCCCTAGAAAGACGAAGAGTGTGGGGAGATACGATAGAAGTATTTAAGTGGGTGAAAGGAATCAATAAAGGGGATATAGATAAAGTTCTTATAATATCCGAGCAGGATAGGACTCGGAGCAACGGATTCAAGTTGGATAAGTTTAGGTTTAGGAGGGAGATAGGAAGAAACTGGTTCACAAATAAGGTGGTGGACGGGTGGAACAAGCTTAGCAACTTTGTAGTAAGTGCGGGAACTCTGGAAAGTTTCAAAAGGAGGCTAGATAGATTCATGGATGATAGAGAGTGGTAGTAACTCTCGACAGGAGCTGCCATGCACAGGCCAACCGGCCTATTGCAGACTCCTTATTTTCTTATGTTCTTATGTTATGTGACCGAAGCCCTTAGGTAATAAAACTGATATTAATTTGACTATAAATGCATACAGGGGGACCCTGAGCCTAAAGTCCGACTTACAAACACCCACCACTATGAACGAGGTTAAATTTTAAATTTAAAGTCTTTTTATTTACCGGATGCCTTATTTTTTACTTTCATTTACTGTATTTTGTTATTCTATTTCTTAAATTAAGTGATTTTAGATGTATATAAGGACTTAGGCTTTGATACAGTGGGATTTTTAACATGGTTCTGTAAGTACGGCTTCCATACATTTTCGACTTAAGAACGTTCTCAGGAACGGAACCCTTTCGTAACCCGGGGACTACTATTTGTATGGTAGACTAAGGAGGTTGAATGTGACCATACATTCCTGTTAAAGAGGTTTAGGAAGTGAACAAGCAGTTATTGTACAGTACAGTATAGGTCTACTGTACTGTCATTCTATTATCCTAATTTTATGTAATTGGAACATGGAGGCATTAGAAAGGGTTGTTGACTTTCCACATACAGTAAATAATCTGTTATCAAATCACTATGAAAGCTTTTCAACTTTAGATATACCCTATATGAAAAAAATCTTTTAAATATTTGCATGTGTGTGTGTGTGTGTGTCTGTGTGTGTGTGTGTGCATGTGTGTGTGTGTGTGTGTGTGTGTGTGTGTGTGTGTGTGTGTGTGTGTGTGTGTGTGTGTGTGTGTGTGTGTGTGTGTGTGTGTGTGTGTGTGTGTGTGTGTGTGTGTGTGTGTGTGTGTGTGTGTGTGTGTGTGGCAACAACAGTACATTCTGTTAGTGGTAATATACAGTGTTGCTCTAAGGTAATATACTGATATCAAGATATCCCAGGAAGTTATGAATTACACTCTTGAGTCAACGTATACATATTAGTAAATTATGTCCACTTTTTTCATCTAACAATACCTGTATACACAAATGCAGAGTTGTAAAACGTACCGGACTTTGTTACTTAAGTAAAAGTATTGTTACATTGGCAAAATGTTACTTAAGTAGAAGTAAAAAAGTATCTCATTCATAAAGTACTCAAGTACTGAAAGCAAAAAGTTACAACGAAATTATTAATTGTCTCAAATATTAAAATAAATCAATAGTAAATTATAAAAAAAAATTAGTTAACTAAAGATAAAAATGAAAGACACAGCATTACACGTGTTTATTTGCGGGGAAGAATGGAGCATTCCATCCTCAGGGCATGCCAAGTAAAAAGTTATGTTTACTGTATTATGAAATTTTGGGTAAGAAATTTTTTCCAAAGGAATGCATCTACCATTATACAATGAGAATAAATGGTAAAATAATAAGTATTTTGCTGAAATATGGTATATGGCAAACTTTTTAGGAACATAACCCTTCTGTAAATCGAAGACTTCATGTAAGTATATTTCAATGTTGTTTTTAATGTTTCTCCCCAGTGTATATGTAGTTAAAGAAAAACATACAGAAATACCATATATGGTTGTGTTTATGGGTGATTCCAGTGTCTCAAACATACCATACGATGGCTGCTAATACTATTTGTGGATTTAGACACTTCACGGGGTCTGTAGAAACTAATCCTCCTGAATAGCATAGGTCAACTGTACTTTGCATTCGATAGCATACCTAATGAAAGACTGAAATGCTGAAGAATATCATAGTGTGGATCAGATACTTTTTTCAAAACTGCAATCAGTGTGTGTGTGTGTGTGTGTGTGTGTGTGTGTGTGTGTGTGTGTGTGTGTGTGTGTGTGTGTGTGTGTGTGTGTGAAAAATCTAAAAATTAAATTAAATAAACTAAACATCTGACAAGATAAGATTGTTTTTAATAATTTGCAGAAATTGGAGGCCATAATGACACTCTTCCCCCTGACACCAGAGCACTTCTTTCGTGGTATTACTTCTGCAAGAGAATGTATCCATTTGAGGAGTTACATAACAACACATTGAATTTGTATTATTGACTGAACAAGTATAAAAAAATTGAAGCTTTGTCCTACCTGAGAAGAATCTGGTCGTTCCACTTCCAACGAAGGTGTTTGATGGGGGAAGCTGGTCACTTCACTGCCATCAACACTCACTCTGACAGTGTCTTTTCCATAAGCAGAGATGATCACAGAATGAGAGTTGTAGAGGATGGTTATGGAATCAATACACATGGTCACTGGTTCTGTGGTGCACTTCTTGCTATGGGATATCACCTGCCACATACAACATCTATCATTAGTTATTCTGTACATTATCCACATATCTTAACATATGCAGGTTGCCACAGTTCCTCAGCTATTTTGGCACATGCCAAAATCAGTATTAAGATATATTTTGTCACATACTTATAACAAGTTTTCTTGATGTCATTCACAGTCACATTACCATGTCACATTTAGGGTTGTAAAGGCATGGATAGTTTCCAGGAATTTTGGAAACTTTCCTGGAATTTTAAAGGCCTGGGAATTTTGGGAATTTTCATATATTTTCTATTTCTGCAGGTTCTGACACAAAAAACTCTATATCTAAGAATATATGATAAAATAAAGTGTCATGCATATTGCTATGGAATATTAATTCTTAAAACTCCAGGTGCAAGTAACAATTAATTTCAAACATTCCCTAAATCAGTCACATGCTACCTGTACAGTACTGTAGTTTTAAAATTAAATGCCAGGTAGCGACGTGTCCTCCTAATATTAAGTAATTATTAGATATTTTAATTGCCTGTATGTTGGCAGCCCTATTATTTATCTAAAGATATTTTTTTTGTCACTAAAGGAAACAAACAAACAAACAAACAAACAAAAAAAGAGAGAGAGAGAGAGAGAGAGAGAGAGAGAGAGAGAGAGAGAGAGAGAGAGAGAGAGAATTTATGTAGATGTAACCCAACAAGGATGTGTATAAAAACGGGAAGGAAACATTCCCAACAAAAATAACTTTAACACACCTGGAACTTATGATGACCCGCACGGTTCTTGTCCTGTACAGCAATATATGAACATTCTCCATTAAAAGTGAATTTGTATCTATCAAATGTTGTGTAGTGTGGGTCACCATAGGCTTCACACACACAGTCTCGACACAGCTCTGGCCGGACACAGCTTTCACCTTTGCGTAATAGCCCTGGGATACAGAAGCAGCCGGACACACAAGAATTGACCTTCTCTGGGCAACCATTCTTATCGTGCAAAGACTCACAACTATCCTCACACTCAGCACGGAAGCAATCCTGATAAACTTCTCCGGGACCACATTCCTTATCTGTAATGTATATATATATATATATATATATATATATATATATATATATATATATATATATATATATATATATATATATATATATATATTGTATATACAGTATACTCACTCAGCCCAATATGTTAAGATACTTAAAAAATACGGAAATGATGTTTTTAATGTCCCATACTGTATTTAAATCACAATGTGTCTTATTATTAGTACCAATCATGCAAGGATTTCATAAATGAAGGAACTTGTATTGCAGATGAAGAAACTCTAAAACTGCATCAGTAGTAACCAATAGTAATTTTTTAGCCATACATAATACTCAAGAGGCCATGATAGGTCTATGTACAGTATTTCAAGAGAGAATCTGCCAAGATGGTTCCGATGACTTCTGAAATGCTACACACAACTGAAGGGTTGGTAACTTGGTATGTGTGGCTCTGGCATACTGATCCTACTACATTTGGTAAACGAACATCATTTCATTATTCCAAAATACTGTAATACCCAATGCATTACTTGTGTTAAACTACATACCAAAGTAAATGCATGTCCCTATATCTATCATCTGTGGTCTTATAATGTTACACACAGTGTGGACAGACACTTCTTTGAGATACTGTACAACAGATGCTATCTACTAGTACAATGTAAATGAGTTTAAGTCAAATTATCATTACTATCTGCTGACTAAAGGATCATTTTGGTGACTTACAGCACTTGGCAACAATACGCCAGTCAGCAATGGGAGCCTCAGGGTTCTTCTCAAGACAGCGGGTGACATAATGTGTAAAAGCCTGGCATCGGCATTCCTCTTGATGAGTGTCACCACTTAGACATTCACACATGGTGTCCACACATCCCTTCATGAATGGTGCTGGGTCAACAGTGCTGTGGCACTTAGTGAAGGGTTTGGACCTATGTGTAGGAAATTCTTAATACTTACATGAGCAAAATAATTAAATTCAGAACAATTATTTCTTTTACCTGTATTGTATATATGTATATATATGTGTGTGTGTGTCTCACACACACACACACACACACACACACACACACACACACACACACACACACACACACACACACACACACACACACACAAAACGCATACAAATAAATAATAATGGGAAAATACTCTCACAAAGAATCAGCGACAAAATTATTAAAATTTGTAAGTCTACCCTCAAGTTTGCGCTTTATTATTAAAGTAATAAAGCAAAGACTTGAGGGTAGACTCACATTTTTAATAAATTTGTTTCCCTTAAGAAGAACAAGGAAGCCTTAACTGCTTCTGTGAAAGTATTCTCTAGTAACAGGACGTTCTCCAATACTTCACAACGAAACCTACTGCTTGTTATCACAGAACATTACCTTCACGACTCTTGTGTATTAACGATGAGTGAGGTATGTAATGTAAATGTTGAGAACGGTTCTGGTTTAGAAGAGCTATTTAATATAGCCTCCGTCCTCATTTAACACTCATAGCTACAGTGATTAAGTTACGGTGATACATACACTTGGAACTGTATATAATATATTGTCTTAATAAATGCAGAAAGGACAGTTGGGTTTTGCTATTAAAACCCTATATACTTTTACATGTTCCAGCCCCATTAACTCATCAAGAAGCAACGGTTAAAGGGCCAGTTCATAGGTGGTAGATGTGCTTCGTAAGTGATTGTTACAAGTGGTGACAACCCAAGAAGGTTGTTACACATCTGTTACAACGGTCAAAGAGATCAGTTCAAGAGTATTGAAATTATATTCCACAACTTTTATAGTTTCATTATATGTAACAATGGCATGTGAATCACCAACTCGCAGGATACGGCAGACTGGCATGTCAGCCAGCTGACTCCAGGCGTGTCTCAGAAAACGAACTTCTTTAACAATTATTCTAAGCTATATGAATGATGTGGCTTAGAAATAAAAAAACAAAAAACATAAAATAAGAAAAATGAAGAGTATGGGTGTGTATGTTTATGTGTGAGAAGTGAATGTGTGTGTGTGTAGATGGTGGACTATAATTACGTCTCTGACTTACCAGCCTAGCCTCCGTGTTTATTGTTGCTTTTAAGGAAACTATAAAAGTTGTCAAAAATTACAATACTCTTACGTGGTTTAGAAATAAAGACAAAATAATATAAAAACAAGAAAATGAAGAGCATGGGTGTGTATGTGTGAGAAGTGAAAGTATATGGAGGCAGTTGTAGCCAAGGCCTTGGCTAAAAATTACGTGGCCCACTTGCCAGCCCAGCCACCTCGTATATTGTTACTTGTAATTAAATTATAAAAGATGTGCAAATATCATTACTATACTCTCATGTGGTTTAGAAATATGTAAAATATAATATAAAACTATAAATTAAGAAAAATAAAGAGCACAAGTGGAAAGTACCGTATTTATGGCATATAAGATGCGATGCTCAACCCTAGCCTCCTCCTTATCATGGGGGACTTTAACTATGGCGACATCGACTGGAGAAACGAGTTTACCCCAAATGACTTGAATAACCCTGCTACTCTTTTTGTAAAAACTCTGGAGATAATTTTCTGTTCCAACATGTTAGAGACCCCATACATACAGAGGGGAGCAAACACCCAAGCCACTAGACCTCATCATAACAAACGAGGAGGGTATGGTGGCCAAACTGGAACACCTTGCCCCAGTTGGAACCAGTCATTCAGATTTAACTGTTACCTTGTTCAAGATTAGGCCAGGCTAAGGTGTAAATATTACAAGGGAAATTACAACGGGATGAGGGAAGAGATGAGGGGTATCAACTGGCTGACTCATTAAGGCACAAGAGACACTACGCTGAATATCATAACTAGTAAAGTGACCCATTTGATCGATAAATATATACCCAAGACTAAACCCAGTGCTTCTAGGAATACGAGGGGATCCCTACACATGAACCATGCGGCGGTCGACAAAGTTACGTAAGAAGAAAACCCAGAAATTCAAGACGTGGGTTGGGTCAAACGATGAGCAGGACAGGAGGATGTATGCAAGAGCCAGAAACTAAGCAAAGATAGAGTGTAGAAGGGCTGAAAAGGAGTTCCAGAGGCTGGATGCAAGCGAGGTCAAATCAAACCCAAAGGAGTTTTACCGCTATGCAAAGTCGAAATTAAAAACACGAGTAGGAGTATCAGACCTGAGGCTTGAAGATGGTAGTTACGCAGATTCTGACCAGGATAAGGCGGAGGCATTGAAGGGGGATGCGATTAACCTTCCTGCTTTTGAGGACAGACGGTTTGACACAGCACTGACCGACATTGTGTTCACAGAAGAGGGTATTAAAAATAAACTGTCAAAGCTAAAGGTCCATAAGAGTCCCAGCCCGGACATAGTGCATCCCAGAGTGCTAACAGTTGTGCAACGAGCGTCCGATCTTCAAGAAGGGCGGTCGTCACTCCACGAACAACTATAGACCGGTGAGCCTGACCAGCATAATATGTAAAGTACTTGAGAGTATTATCAGAGATGCCGTGATGGAACATCTACTACGTAACAACCTTGTAAAGGATTGCCAACACGGTTTTATGCCGGGGCGCTCCTGCTTAACACAATTGCTCATGGTATTGGATATTTGGACCCATATCCTGGAACAGGGTGGTAATATCGACAATAAATACCTAGATTTTGCCAAGGCTTTCGACAGTGTACCCCCACGAAAGGCTGAAAATCAAACTGGAAGGGTACGGAATTCGGGGAAATGTCGTAGCGTGGATAGAAGACTTTCTACATGACCGCAAGCAGTGTGTGGTGATTAATGACGCGAAATCATCGTCCGTACCTGTCAGAAGCGGGGTACCACAGGGCAGTGTATTGGGCCTGCTGTTGTTTGTTTGTTTCATAAAAGACATGCCTGACGCTGTACACTCCCCCATACAAATGTTTGCCGATGACGCCAAGTTATTTCGGGAAATCAAGAACGATGCGGACTGTGATGAACTGCAAACGGATCTCTGTGAACTCCAAGAATGGTTGAAGAAATGGCTGCTGAGATTCAATGTAATGAAATGTAAGAGGCTGCACCTGGGGCGTACCAACGGTAAGGAGGCGGATCATATGCCCCAACGGGATGAAGAAAGTGCACTATTTGAGACTGAATGTGAGAAGGACCTAGGTGTGTATGTTGACAATGAGCTGAAGTTCTCGGGCCATTGCGAGAAGAAGGTAAATCAGGCAAATAAATTATTGGGTCTTATAAGAAGGTCGTTCAGATATCTAGACGGTCCGTCCCTCGTAATGATCTTCAAGAGTGAAGTGCTTGCCCATGTGGAGTACTGTCACCCCGTCTGGTCCCCGAGATATGCTGTCAGTTGGTTGAAAATGTTCAAAGGAGGGCCACCAGACTGGTGCCTGCACTTCGGCACCTCAACTACCCTGAGAGATTGGAGCGCCTGAACTTGCCTAGCTTATACTACAGACGGGCAAGGGGCGACCTAATTGAGGTGTACAAGCATCTCAAGGGGCACTACTCAGTCGAGTGTCTTTACTTGGAGCTGGCGGACGCTCGCCCCACACGGGGTCACAGCTCAAGATTAAAGAAGCTGCAGATGCAGAAAACTGTGAGGGCAAACTTTTTTGGAGTGAGAATTGTGAACACTTGGAACAATCTACGAGAAAGTGTTGTGTCGGCATTGAGTGTGAGCTCTTTCAAGACCAGACTTGACCAACACTGGAACAGGTTCAGGTACATTCAGGAGCCGGTGCATGCCCAGTACTTGCCAACAGTGCGTAATAAAGACGTAACCGATTGCCCAAGCGGCTAACAATCCAATCAGTGGTAAAGAGGATAAAAAAATAAATAAAATAAAATAAAGGGCATCACTTGCATGGATTTCTGATGCATGGATGTGTACCAGTATGATATACCCAGGCAAAATGAGACCCTAATTTAACACCTACGCCCCGGGCTAGGGTGCTGCTGGCCCTAGCCCTCACACAAGGTAAATCAAGAAATATCAAATTTTCCAAAAATAATTTTCAACTTTTTTAAATGATAAAACAATCAAAAAGAAGTAAGAAAAACTATATAGAGACTCTCTAGAAACTTCCCTGGGGCTGCAGTGGCGAAAGAGATAAGGGGACAGTGTTGTTTTGACGGCAGGCGCTCGTGGTCACTACGCACTTAGCGGCCATTTTCAGAATTTTTTTTTCTGGAAAATGCGCTTGATTTTCATCCTCGGAAATTGGTTCGCAAACCCCGAATGGAGAGAGTTTTCCCGGCCCGATTTCATTTCTGGCTATTGGAGAGTTCTGGGGATCGGGGATTCTGGGTAATGAGGAGATTACTACTTGTTTTGCTTTTTTCTGTTTGTTATATACAGTTATGTCAAATTTAATTTAATTTTAATTTATCAGGATTTATTTATTTTTTATTTTTTTTTTTTTGAGGGGGGATTTATTATGAAATTGCTTTAAGCATTTTTTGGGGAGGGTGTATGTACTGTATGTGTAGAGATCCTGGATGGTTCTCTTCATGAAAAGTTTTTTATTACAACTCCATATGAAAGTTTAGGACACCCATAATTACACAATAAATAATCATAAATGTTACCTCCAAGAAGGTAATTTTGTGATTAAATACTATCTGGTTATCCAAATTTTTGTAATGAGTATGAAATAATTTTTGTTATGGACTGAAGTTCTAGCTTACCAGAGTAACTAAAAAGATTTGTTATCTAGAATATGAATGTGTAGAAAGAAAAAACTTCATAGGTCCAACTGGATAAGGATAGTGAACAAATCCATGTCTAAGTTGTGTGTAAATTTGTTTTGATGATATTTATAAATGTCTCACAACTTACTGAATAGCTCTGCAGAGTTCATGTGCTTTTTTGCTAACTTCAGATGTGCACTTTTTCTCACATGTGTTGTTATTTAAGGCCCATGACTGAGCCAACTCAGTGTAGCTCATTGCCATTGCCCCATTAGGTTTTCTTTTATCATCGCTGGGGTCTCCTGAGTAGAAACCACACAGGCCATCTACCTTACGGATCAGATCCGAGTAAACCTGTGGATAAGTGGATAGTTAAACAAGCACAGTATTTACATTATTACCCCTAAAATATAAATACAGTACAGTAGTCTACTAACAATATACAGTACAGTATTCTACTAACAATATACAGTACAGTACAGTATTCTAATAGTATACAGTACAGTACAGTATTCTAACAGTATACAGTATAATACAGTATTCTAATAGTATACAGTACAGTATTCTACTAACAGTATAGATTACAATATTCTACTAACAGTGTACTGCACACATCATTGTCATTCCTAAAAACCCACTTTAATTCATATTACGCTACATAACATTCAAATCCACCGCGCTTGTAGAATCTCAGGAGAGACGTGATTTTCCCATCCGTTTTACACTCAGGATCACTCCCAGTAAGTCCCGCCTTCAAACACCGTTGTCACTACGTTTATTCCACTCTCTACTGGCAAATGCAATCTTGAATTAGTCTGTGTAAATCAACTTTAGTAATTCGCCAGACCTTTGTCAACTGAGGGTCATCCTTGAATGAGTAACAGTTAGATTGCATGTAATTTCTGTCATTGCGTGAGTAGCAATCGCTGGCAACTCAGGGGTATATAAACCAGTGCGAGGCGGGAGGAATAAACCTCTCGTATCACCTTTCACCTTCGTTTTCAGGTATGTTCTGTGTTTATAACCATTCAGTTTGATTCAGTCTATTGTAGTGAATATCAGTGTTCATCAGTGTCCATGCTTTAACAGTGGAATTGTCATTCACCTAGTGTAAGAAGTAATATAACGTACATATCTGACGGGGCGAAACTGAAGATTTGTTTGTGACCCACCATGCTTCCCCGAAAAACCTCCCGTATCACCTTTCACCTTCATTCTCAGATCGAGGGTGGGCTTAATTGAAACCCACCAGTCGCTCGGAGCCGGTGGATACCCAGCAGTGGTCAATATAGGAGTGATGGCGCTGATTCGACATGATTAATCGGCTCCACTTTACCCCGTGGGACGAGGGCCCCAGACCCGCCTCGTGTCGGAGTGTAACCGACCACAACAGCAGTTGTTAGAGGCGCCAGTGCTATGCCTTGGAGTTATGGTCCACAGTGTGGTTGTATGTGTTTGTTGATAATTACCCCATGTTGGGTAGTGGACCCATGTAGGTGTTTGTATCAGTATTAACGTGTTGTTGTGAGTGCATCTCCTATGCCCTACCAACAGCTGTGAAGTACCATATGCCAGTTGGTCTTATAACTGGGTGTAATGAGAAGTACCTAGTAATGTGGGAGAAGTAAAGTAATCTGCAAGGAGTTGCCATGTAACTATGTATTGTGAGTAAGGACAAGGAACTGGTCCTGCTATGTAATGTAATGTGACCCCAGTAAGAGTGTGCACGGTAAGAGTGTAATATCTGGGTAATTGCTGTTGAGTAAACAAGAAAATAAGTAAATAAGAAATACTGAGTCTGCAATAAGCCCAGGAGTTGAGCCTGGTACTTTGATTTTATATTAATAAACTTGTTCTTTGAGTATTTTAGGAGTATTCATTTCTCCCACACTAGTTACCTTTATTTCCGTCCAAGTGACCCTGATATCAGAATTACACTACCCATGTGCCTAGACCACCGACATGCTACCAAAATGAACAGAAGTAGAAAGAATAATTGAAAGAACTAAGACATGTTGGTGTTTCACCCTTCTTTCCCCTTATCAATCTGGTCAATGAAAAACCTAACCCAATGCCTAGTCCACTGTGCACGCTACCTAACGAGTTACATACTGTCCAGAGGGGGTCTGGTGGCAGCGACCCTTAGAAATTAAGATTAGAGTTAAGTATTTCCCCTTAGAATTAGTGACCCCAGTCTGGCAGTATAACAGTATAGATTACAATAATCTACTAACAGTATACAGTACAGTACAGCATTCTACTAACAGTATACAGTACAGTACAGTATTCTACTAGCAGTATACAGTACAGTACAGTATTTTACTAACAGTACACAGTACAGTATTCTACTAACAGTATACAGTACAGTACAGTATTCTACTAACAGTAAGCAGTACAGTACAGTATTCTACTAACAGTATACAGTACAGTACAGTATTCTACTAACAGTATACAGCACAGTACAGTATTTTACTAACAGTATACAGTACAGTATTCTACTAACAGTATACAGTACAATATTCTACTAACAGTATACAGTACAGTACAGTACAGTATTCTACTAGCAGTACAGTACAGTATTCTACTAGCAGTACAGTACAGTATTCTACTAACAGTATACAGTACAGTACAGTACAGTATTCTACTAACAGTATACAGTACAGTACATTACAGTATTCTACCAACAGTAAGCAGTACAGTACAGTATTCTACTAACAGTATACAGTGCAGTACAGTATTCTACTAACAGTATACAGTACAGTACAGTATTCTACTACAGGTTGTACCTCTCTAGTCCGGCAACCTCGGGACCTGACCGGTGTCGGACCATGGAAATTCACCCTTTTCCTGGATAGATAGTGACTTGTGCTTATGCTTGGAAGCACTAGCACCACTTTCTTCGACACACTTCTTCAAAGTCCCAATCTGCTGTAGAAACTGTTCTGATCCTGCATTACTACTCGCTCCCTCCTGTGGCCCTGCTAATATGTCAGCATAACTCCTCTTAGCAACCACCTCCATTCTATCAGCTACTTCCTCAGTCTTAGCAAGGATCTCTTTCCCAACTTGCTCCAGTTTGGCAACCAGCAGGGCTCCAGCTTCATTAACAGTATACAGTACGGTACAGTTTTCTACTAACAGTATACAGTACAGTATCCTACTAACAGTATACAGTACAGCATTCTACTCACAGTATGCAGTACAGTATTCTACTAACAGTACACAGTAGAGTACAGTATTCTACTAACAGTATACAGTACACTATTCTATTAACAGTAAATATTGCAGTATTCTACTAACAGTATACAATGCAGTACAGTGCAGTATTTTACTGACATCATACAGTAAAATAAAGTATTCTACTAACAGTGTACAGTACAGTATTCTACTAACAGTATACAGTACAGTACAGTATTCTACTAACAGTATACAGTACAGTACAGTATTCTGACAGTATACAGTACAGTACAGTTTTCTACTAACAGTACAGTACAGTATTCTACTAACAGTATACAGTACAGTATTCTACTAACAGTATACAGTACAGTACATTATTCTAACAGTATACAGTACAGTTCAGTATTCTACTAACAGTATACAGTACAGCATTCATCTAACAGTATACAGTACAGTATTCTACTAACAGTACACAGTACAGTATTCTACTAACAATATACAGTACAGTATTCTACTAACAGTATACAGTACAGTACAGTATAGTATTCTACTAACAGTATACAGTACAGTACAGTATAGTATTCTACTAACAGTATACAGTACAGTTTTCTACTTACAGTATACATTACAGTATAGTATTCTACTAACAGTATACAGTACAGTGCAGTATTCTACTAACAGTATACAGTATTGTATTCTACTAACAGTATACAGTACAGTATAATATTCTACTAACAGTATACAGTACAGTTTTCTACTTACAGTATACATTACAGTACAGTACAGTATTCTACTAACAGTATACAGTACAGTACAGTATTCTACTAACAGTATACAGTATTGTATTCTACTAACAGTATACAGTACAGTACAGTACAGTATTCTACTAACAGTATACAGTACAGTACAGTATTCTACTAACAGTATACAGTATTGTATTCTACTAACAGTATACATTACAGTACAGTACAGTATTCTACTAACAGTATACAGTACAGTACAGTATTCTACTAACAGTATACAGTATTGTATTCTACTAACAGTATACAGTACAGTACAGTATTCTACTAACAGTATACAGTATTGTATTCTACTAACAGTATACAGTACAGTACAATATTCTACTAACAGTATACAGTACAGTTTTCTACTTACAGTATACATTACAGTACAGTACAGTATTCTACTAACAGTATACAGTAGAGTACAGTATTCTACTAACAGTATACAGTAAAGTACAGTATTCTACTAACAGTATACAGTAGAGTACAGTATTCTACTAACAGTATACAGTAGAGTACAGTATTCTACTAACAGTATACAGTACAGTACAGTATTCTACTAACAGTATACAGTACAGTACAGTATTCTACTAACAGTATACAGTACAGTACAGTATTCTACTAACAGTATACAGTACAGTACAGTATTCTACTAACAGTATACAGTACAGTACAGTATTCTACTAACAGTATACAGTACAGTACAGTATTCTACTAACAGTATACAGTACAGTACAGTATTCTACTAACAGTATACAGTACAGTTTTCTACTTACAGTATACATTACAGTACAGTACAGTATTCTACTACCAGTATACAGTACAGTACAGTCCCGTAAATTTCTCATACTCAAAATATAATTACGAGTCCGTAAACAGCCTGTGACTCTAGTGGTTACACTGTACATTAAGTTCTCTTGTCTGTCTTGTCTGAAGGTAGATGGCAGTGCATGAGCTAGTTGGCCAATCGTTGCTCAGTTAACAAAATCATCAACCAATCACAAGAGAAGGGGAAAAGAGCAGAGATCGGCGTACGTTATAGTTACTAAACGTACTTTAAGCGTCATTAGTGAAGACAAGTGATCGCGGACCCTTGTGAAAGTTTGAACGCTCGTCACAGCGTACAGCTAATGAGGGTGCGCCAAGTCCGTAGACTTGCATTGTTTACCATCGTAAATAAAATTGTTAATTAATGCCTCCCTAAAGAAACCATCGACATGGGACCAGGTTTGTTCCACTCTACGAATTTTTTTGCGATTTTTCCACCAAGTTTGATGAAAAACGATTGTGCCGTTTCGGCTGCCCAGAACAGACACACACACAGACAGTCAGACACACAGCTAGTCCTATAGTATATTAGATGCGAATTATATTTGAATTATACTTGAGGACAATGGTTAACCAATGACCAAAATAATCATATATATATATATATATATATATATATATATATATATATATATAGAGAGAGAGAGAGAGAGAGAGAGAGAGAGAGAGAGAGAGAGAGAGAGAGAGAGAGAGAGAGAGAGAGAGAGAGAGAGAGAGAGAGAGTTATACTTGAGGACAATGGTTAACCAATGACCAAAATAATCATATATATATATATATATATATATAGAGAGAGAGAGAGATGGTAAATTTGCATAACAGAGACATCACATTTTTTCTTACAAAAAGTATTTTTCATAGGTTTTTGGTTTAATACGATCATAAGTCAAGCTTTTTTTGCAGAAAAATTAGTGAAATGTGCCTTTCCTTAACATCACCTTACCTAACCTTTTACTTAACCTAATCTTTAGCGAATTTAACCTAACCTAACTTTACTTAACCTAACCTACCCGGTAATTTTTCTGGACTAACCCTCGGGCGAAATTGAGCGAAAACGAATATATGAACGCCGGATTTTCATTGTTTTTTTATAGTGGACACTGTTGTAGTTTGTGCAAATGTGTTAAAAAATGGATATTTCTCAAATTAACGAAGTTAACATTTCTTGGCCTGAAAAACAGACCTAACCAACCTCACCAAACAAACCCACCTAACCTTATCTAACTTCCTTACTGGAGGGGGCTCTACCCCCTCCCCTCCGGGGTATATTAAACAGGAAGAACTTGCTATGGTATGGTGATATCCGAGGCATTTTCTGTACGTGAATTGATACGGCCGCATCGGCTTTTTTACAGCCCGGGCAGCGGAGTGATTTATTGTGATGGCGGGAAACGTCAAGCGTTGAGGAAGTGATGAAAAAATTTCTCTCTGGTCTGAAAGCACAGGGATTCCCGCCGTGTGGACAGTCTCTATTTAAAGGAACAATGCCGTGGTCTTTGAACAATTGAAGAGTCTCGTTGTCTTTATCCCTAAATTGGCAAATTACCTCCATATAAGACAGGCGACAACCTTCACGCGTCATGCTGAAAATGAAACTGCCACGAGCCTGGGGAAAGGCGCTGTAGCACAGCTCAGCCTCATCACCGTGGGGAAGAGAAATTAGTGCGCGCCTAGGCGCCTAATTATATACAAAATAAGACATTTGCACAAGAAAAGATTGCCATATGAGAACTCACTGATGAAAATAAAGCAAGAAAATAGTTAGTCCTATATATTAACCTATATATTAACCACCTAACCTAACCTTTACCTAAACTAACCTTTACCGAACCTAACCTAACCTTAACATGCCTTACCTAACCTAAATGTAAAATGCATAAAGGTTACAATACACAATAGTGGCATCCTAAGTTACTTTTATATATCATCAACAGATTTATAGATATGTCGGAGAAATGTTTATAAAAAAGTTTGTTATCTCTGCAAATGTATTTTTTTAAATAAAGATTTTGAAATTTTTCTAGAGAACTTAATTGTTTGTCATGTGTGTTGCAGCTTTCTTAGGTTAGGTTAGGTTAGGTAAGGTAAGGTTAGGTTAGGTTAGGTTAGGTTAGGTTAGGTTAGGTTAGGTTAGGTTAGGTAAGGTAAGGTTAGGTTAGGTTAGGTTAGGTTAGGTTAGGTAAGGTTAGGTAAGGTTAGGGTAAGATACATTTCACTAATTTTGCAGCAAAAAAATAAAAACACTACTGAATGGATCGAATAAAAAACCTCTAAACATAATTATTTTTCTAAGTAAAAATATTGCTCTACCACTGTTAATTTTTACCCCATTTTTTTAATAGGTTTGATAAACTTAGATTGTGTTAGGTATTATTTAACTCTGAGTCATGGGTACTTCCTGGATACTTGGCAGACTAGCTTGTTATAACTTGGTCCTAGCAAAGGCGAAGTCTAGGTAAAAATGTTTACAAGACCTCGTATTTAGCTTTCATCACTGATGGACATCTACGTCTATACCACATTAATAAGGTCTATCTGCAAGCTTACTGAGTCATAAAAAAAATATTTGTACCATAAATGTGGACAATAAAAATCTTCTATTTTGGTACAAATTACTTGAATAGTTGTAAGAAGACAAAAGCTGCGTCTCTTCCATTCCGCGAGAAATAGAAACACTCAAGCCTCTTATTGTAAAAAAATTAACTAAAAAGACAAACTTTAATATCGTATTTTAGTATGTTAATGTACAAAACATTTTCTTCATTATTCTATGATAAAACAAGTCTAACAATCGTTATTACAAAATATATTATTAATTTTTCTTATGCAATCGGGAAATAGCGACTTACTATATCCGGGTTGAGCGTGTTACAGCCCCCTAAGGAGGTGCTGTAAGTTACTGTCTACATTACGGGCTCACTTACGGAGTCCGCTGCCAAATATTTGTTTTGATTATGCCGATCGGAGACTGTAAGTCCAGTTATGGGGTAAACAAAGAGGTACAGTCTGGTAAATGCTTTTGAGTATGCGGCCCCTGACTTTCTGCTTCATTTACACACAATTGCAGGGTTTCAATTGTTTCTCGTACTTTGACAACACAACAAACATACTGTATATCATTTGTCACTATTGATATATTTTGTAAATTTTTGCATTTATTTATGATCCTTTATTATTATTATTATTATTATTATTATTATTATTATTATTATTATTATTATTATTATTATTATTATTATTATTATTATCATGTTTTACTTTAATATTTTTTTTTAATTTTGTTATTAATTATTATTAATATTATAATTATTATATTTTCGCTCCCAGGCCCTGATGTGGGTCATTGACCTGTGCCCTGGTGGGCTAATCTCATAAAAAGGAAAGAAAAAAGTGACCTTATGAGGCCTTATCAAATCCGTTATTGACTGCACATGATATTTTTTGTGCTTCATGAGCTAGTTCACTATAAACATGAAATAAATTTAAAGTTTTTCAATCCTATAACTATTTCAGCTGAAACTAATGTGCAGGCTTTAATTCAGTTGTTGTCACCAATGTTAAGTTCTCAAAGGAATAAATATCTACCTCTTGAAAAATGATGAGGATGACGTTCATAAGACATACAGTAGATAATGTAATGAATGGACTCTAGATATTTAGCAGTTAAACCTATCTCTTCAGTTAGTATTGATTATACCTAATAAATAGCTGAACAATGTGTAGCAAAGAAAAGGCAATTTTAAAGACAGAAGGATAGATTATACAGTTGGAGGAAAACATTAAAGTGTTATCCTCTATACCCTGGAATTGATAGAACACTAAATTAAGTACAAAGATAAGTGCTCAACTTACAACAATATTGATGTCTGTCTCCACATTCCACCTAATCTCGAATTTGTATATAGTTGACTTAAACATGATGGTATCATTGCCAACTGAATATATTTTGAAGGCGTTGGTGGAATTCCCAATTCGCTGAGCCTTTGGAATATAGAGGAAATATTTATTGACTATGAGGGCTTGTTGGTTCTGAACATTTAATGGAATTTCATGTACAAGAATAAAGGTAAATGAAATTGAACTCAGAAATAAAATTTTGCAATCTAGAAACATAATTTTTTACTCTTTTTTTTTTACTTATTAAAATGTTGCATTGTAATTCAATAAGTAGAATGAGATAACTTACCTGAGTAACTGTATAGATACTATCCTTCCAGATAACATGACGGTCTCGTTGTAATATCAGCTGCACGCTATTTTGTGTGATAGTCACATAACGACCACACGTTTCTTTCCCTGTACAGTTGTGATGCACTGCAAAAAGTGTAAATAAAAGCAATTCTAATTCAAGCTTTTAATCATTAATGTAAAACTTGGAGTTTTAAATAAGACTCAACTCAAAGGACACATGAAAAATACTCATTGTCAACCAAAAAGTAAGTGAAGCTTTAGCTGTGTGATGTGCTGAAACAAGGAAAAGAAAATGACCAATTATCTAAAGTGAAACATGTTACTACAAATATCTCATCTATCAAGTAAATTTTACATGGTAATCCACCTTGTTTGTCTGCTATGTATTGTCTGACTAAACACTTCATCAAACACTGTTATATTCTCGGACTAAACATTTCATCAAACACTGTTATATTCTCTGACTAAACATTTCATTAAACACTGTTATATTCTCGGACTAAACATTTCATCAAACACTGTTATATTCTCTGACTAAACACTTCATCAAACACTGTTATATTCTCTGACTAAACACTTCATTAAACACTGTTATATTCTATGACTAAACACTTCATCAAACACTGTTATATTCTCGGACTAAACATTTCATCAAACACTGTTATATTCTCTGACTAAACATTTCATTAAACACTGTTATATTCTCGGACTAAACATTTCATCAAACACTGTTATATTCTCTGACTAAACACTTCATCAAACACTGTTATATTCTCTGACTAAACACTTCATTAAACACTGTTATATTCTCTGACTAAACACTTCATTAAACACTGTTATATTCCTTGACTATACACTTCATTAAACACTTATATTCTCTGACTAAACACTTCACCAAACACTGTTATATTCCTTGACTAAACACTTCATCAAACACTGTTATATTCTCTGACTAAACACTTCATTAAACACTGTATATTCCTTGACTATACACTTCATTAAACACTGTTATATTCTCTGACTAAACACTTCATTAAACACTGTTATATTCTCTGACTAAACACTTCATTAAACACTGTTATATTCTATGACTAAACACTTCATTAAACACTGTTATATTCCTTGACTATACACTTCATTAAACACTGTTATATTCTCTGACTAAACACTTCACCAAACACTGTTATATTCTCTGACTAAACACTTCATTAAACACTGTTATATTCTCTGACTAAACACTTCATTAAACACTGTTATATTCTCTGACTAAACACTTCATTAAACACTGTTATATTCTATGACTAAACACTTCATTAAACACTGTTATATTCTATGACTAAACACTTCATCAAACACTGTTATATTCTCTGACTAAACACTTCATTAAACACTGTTATATTCTATGACTAAACACTTCATTAAACACTGTTATATTCTCTGACTAAACACTTCATTAAACACTGTTATATTCCTTGACTATACACTTCATTAAACACTGTTATATTCTCTGACTAAACACTTCACCAACAACTGTTATATTCCTTGACTAAACACTTCATCAAACACTGTTATATTCTCTGACTAAACACTTCATTAAACACTGTTATATTCCTTGATTATACACTTCATTAAACACTGTTATATTCTCTGACTAAACACTTCATTAAACACTGTTATATTCTCTGACTAAACACTTCATTAAACACTGTTATATTCTATGACTAAACACTTCATCAAACACTGTTATATTCTCTGACTAAACACTTCATTAAACACTGTTATATTCTATGACTAAACACTTCATCAAACACTGTTATATTCTCTGACTAAACACTTCATTAAACACTGTTATATTCTCTGACTAAACACTTCATTAAACACTGTTATATTCTCTGACTAAACACTTCATTAAACACTGTTATATTCTCTGACTAAACACTTCATTAAACACTGTTATATTCTCTGACTAAACACTTCATTAAACACTGTTATATTCTCTGACGAAACATTTCATTAAACACTGTTATATTCTATGACTAAACACTTCATCAAACACTGTTATATTCTCTGACTAAACACTTCATTAAACACTGTTATATTCTATGACTAAACACTTCATCAAACACTGTTATATTCTCTGACTAAACACTTCATTAAACACTGTTATATTCTCTGACTAAACACTTCATTAAACACTGTTATATTCTCTGACTAAACACTTCATTAAACACTGTTATATTCTCTGACTAAACACTTCATTAAACACTGTTATATTCTCTGACTAAACACTTCATTAAACACTGTTATATTCTCTGACTAAACACTTCATCAAACACTGTTATTGGGTGAGGGGGTTTCCAATTTCTAAATATTTGAGCTAGGTGAGGAACCGACATGCTAGACATAAGAGCACGAACGCTCGAGAAACAGTTCTATCTAGAGGGGTACAGCGGCATATTTCATTTGCACAAACATAAAATACATGAATTTATTGAGCTGAATACATACAGATCCTTTTTTACTTATTATCAAGTATATTTGCACATTTCATTCTCCTAGGATTTTTCTGTGTATAAGTGTCAATTGCTTGGTTTATGTCCCCTGGTATATCTCGGTTCATGGTGCAGTAGTGACAGGCCTGTTAGTCTCTCATTCCTCATTGTTCATCTGATTGGTGTTTTTATTCTTTTTATTCTTTTCAATCCACTGGAAGATCTTTCTGCAGAGCATGTTGGTACTGGCTGGGTGCACAAGAAAATGAGCAGGGACCTAACATTGGTGTGACGGTGTCTGAGAGAAGGTGGAGGTCAGTGTAGTTGGAAGATTGGTGATGCCCTCTTCTTTGGCTCTTTTCTCCCACTTGATACACCAGGTGTGTATCTCATTCTTGATGCAACCAGTACCAGGAAATGGCAGGTCCTCCCAGCAGAGGTCAACCAGCTCTTGTATTCTTCTACTGCCCTCTGCTGGTGTCAGAGTTACGAAGATGGATGGGATGATGCTGCATCCCTGGTAGGCCTTCTAGTGCAGTGGGGTAACCATTATCTCCAGCTCTGCCAGGAGATGGTCAAGGAGTGGAATGGCCACCGTTCTCTTGTAGTATTCAGCTGGTTCATCACCTGATGTGTTGTCTCGGTGTCGTTGGCATTTGCCGAGTCTGGGCATGGAAGGTGTAACACCTACAGCCTCACACACCTGTTCTGCCTGATGAAACCATTCAGTGTGGTGATCATCCATATTGTTATGGAGTTTTGTGGTACTGCTTTCACACAATCAATTTCGCTGCTGGCCTCATCTATGTTGTTTGTGATGACCAGGGACACAATGAAGTCTGTGCTGGTGATGGCGAGAAGCAGGACCTGGGCATGAGTAAGTGCATCCCTGGACCAGCTGCCAGGACCACCCTCCACAATGTTTTCCAAGCAGGCCACCATGGAGGCATATAACTCCACAAGGTTTCTAGGGCATCTAGACGTTGCTTACTTTTACTTTTATCCTCTTCACCACTGATCGACACATTAGCCGTTGGGCGATCGGTCACGTCTCTGTTACTCACTGTTGGCAAGTACTGGGCATGCACCGGCTCCTGAATGTACTTGAGCCTGCTCCAGTGTTGGTCAAGTCTGGTCTTGAAAGAGCTCACACTTGGTACCGTCATAACACTTTCTGGCAGATTGTTCCAAGATTTCACAACTCTCACTCCGAAAAAATTTGCCCTCACAGTTTTCTAGACCTGCGGCTTCTTCAGCCTTGAGCTGTGACCCCTTGTGGGGAGAGCGTCCGCCAGCTACCAGGTAAGGACACTTGACTGAGTAGTGCCCCCTGAGATGCTTATACACCTCAATTAGGTCGCCCCTTGCCCGTCTGTAGTATAAGCTAGGCAAGTTCAGGCGTTCCAATCTCTCAGGGTAGCTGAGGTGCCGAAGTGCAAGCACCAGTCTGGTGGCCCTCCTTTGAACATTTTCAATCAACTGACAGTCCCTAGTACTGTATATCTCGGGGACCAGGCCGGGTGACAGAACTCCAGTTGGGGAAGCACTTCACTCTTGAAGATCGTTCCGACCTTCTTATAAGGCCTAATAATTTATTTGCCTGATTTACCTTCTTCTCGAAATGGCCCAAGATTTTCAACTCATTATCAACAGACACACCTAGTTCCTTCTCACATTAAATAACTCAAATAGTGAAGTTTCTTCATCCCGTTGTGACATATGATCTGCCTCCTTACCGATGGTACGCTCCAGGTGGAGCCTCTTACACTTCGTGACATTGAATCTCAGCAGCCATTTCTTCAACCATTCTTGGAGCTCACAGAGATCCTTCTGCAGCTCTTCACAGTCCGCTTAGATTCAAATGAGGTTCCGTGACTAAGTGCTCTCCAGTGGGAGTGCATGGCCAAGGTGAGGTCAATTAAGTGGGCGGCCAGCGGTGGTGGAATTTCTGCAAGGTGATGACAGGTTCCTGGCCAAGGGGAAGTTTCTGGCAAACCAGGAAACCCCCGTGGGTGAGCCACTGAACACTGTTATATTCTCTGACTAAACATTTCACCAAACACTGTTATATTTTATGACTAAACACTTCATCAAGCACTGATATATTCTCAGACTAAACACTTCATCAAACACTGTTATATTATATGACTAAACATTTCACCAAACACTGTTATATTTTATGACTAAACATTTCATCAAGCACTGTTATATTCTCAGACTAAACACTTCATCAAACACTGTTATATTCTATGACTAAACACTTCATCAAGCACTGATATATTCTCTGACTAAACACTTCATCAAACACTGTTATATTCTATGACTAAACATTTCACCAAACACTGTTATATTTTATGACTAAACATTTCATCAAGCACTGTTATATTCTCAGACTAAACACTTCATCAAACACTGTTATATTCTATGACTAAACATTTCATCAAGCATTGTTATATTTTCAGACTAAACACTTCATCAAACACTGTTATATTCTATGACTAAACATTTCATCAAACACTGTTATATTCTATGACTAAACACTTCCAGGTCCTTTGGACACTAAAACAAGTTAATCAGAAAATTAAACAGGTTTAAAGCATCGAAGAGTTTAGGGGTCTTTTATTCCATTGT